TTCTACACCATTTCGCGGCACTACCGTTTAAATCTCGTCCCGATGGCCCGAAGAGCGGCTGACTTACAGTGAATATCCGAAATTTGCTTCTTGGACTCACACTTAAATGTAATATTTATACATATAATATAAATATATAATATAAATATATAATATAAATAATAGCAAGGAAAAGAGAGAACATATTAATATTTTTATATAATAAATTATTATTAATTAAATTATTTATATTTTTATTTATATTATTTATATTATCAGAGGAACATATATGTTATCCTCTGAGAACCTTCGTAGACATTTGTTTTGTAGTTCATATTTTGTTGTTAATGTTCATAGAGGAAGTATCACTTCCAGGGATAAAGCGAGCCACGACATCTCTCAGTCTCTCTGTGCACGCTCGGTCGGCTTCGGTCAGCTCCAATCAGCGTTGAGCGCATGCGCATCGCATCGCCTCCACGCTGTTGACAGATATGACCAGAGAGAAACCTGAGAGCGGCCACCTCGCTTTAACGAGCACATTGTCCTAATGCGCCGCCTGATAAAGTGGACGTCAACTAAATCCATTACAGGCGATAATAATACATGGTTCGTATCTGAGCTATGGTTCATGTCCGAGCTATGGTTCATATACGAACATATCTTTCGCCCTAGGGATATTAGACTTTCCTAATTTAATCCGAGCACTCTTCCAACCTAACCTAATCTAACTTTCGTATCGTGAAAAACGGATACGTTTACGAACGACGCTTGACGACCGTTACGATCTTTCGTTCCCGGCACGAAACGAGAGGCGAGTAGGTTGTGAAACTGACAAAAGCTCGGGCGCCATATTGCGAGCTTGTGTTTGGTTAGCGTTTCTGGCGCGTGGTGAAGAAGTTTATTGTAATTTAATTGATAACGATGTCCGACAATCAGGTAAGCAATCCGAGAACCGCGCGATCGGCGATTCTCCCGACCTCGTCATCCTCCATCGTGGCCGCGAACATGCGATCGGCGACGATTAATCCGTTAATTTTTTACACCGATTCGTTGAGTGTTTAAACTAGCGCTCTAACCTTGCTGTGTAACTACTAGGAACAAAAGCCCGAAGCCGGCCCAGGTGACGCAAATTCAGAGTACATCAAACTCAAAGTCGTCGGAAATGTAAGCGATGCATGCTCAGACTAGTACTTTTGTTAGCGAATGCACGAGATATTCCTTCTTTTTTTCTTTCTCCTCTTTTCCAGGACAGCAATGAAATTCATTTTAGGGTAAAGATGACCACTCAAATGGGCAAGCTGAAGAAGTCCTATAGTGATCGTGTGGTAGGTTTTATTCGTTTTTCGTTTTACGCTAAAGCGATTCTGCAGAATTTTTCAAAAATAACATAGAAATATGAATTTACTTCAATCATAAGTGTATATAGTTTTTCATTTGATGACAAATATATTTGTTTAGTTTGCTAATGCATTTTCAGAAATTGTGTGTCGAGAACTTTATATAGCTTTTTGATTTTATTTTTTATGCGACAGTAATAATTTTCTTATAGTAAATATAGTGTAATTTTTGTGTGGATAATAATTGTTTGAAAAATTAATATTTTTATTAATCTCTAAACTTTTAGAGAGGCTTCACATATTGAATTTAATAATAAGATAAGATTTAATAATTAGAATAAAATTGTTAAATTTTTACACATTTAAACGTGGTAATATTCATATGTAATCATAAATTTAATTCTATTCAGGGGGTACCTATGACATCGCTTAGGTTTCTTTTTGATGGTAAAAGAATCAATGATGATGAAACACCAAAGCAGGTAAAGTAATTTTTTAATTTTGATTCAGAATCAATAGAAAAATAATATCATAGTTTAGAAACTTTGTTAAAACTCCTGAATTTTTAATTAATTTATAATTTAAAAGAACGTTTTTATATCTAAATATCTTAAATATATTTGATATTTTAAAAGATAAATTTAAAATTATACTCAGAAAAATATTAACTGTAATAAAACATAAATGTGAATTTGGGAATCTTTGTACATATATGACATATATATATGTGCGTGTATAAGAATAGAGATGTATTTTTATTTAGATATATATTTGTTAATATGCACTGTGAATATATATATATTACAGTAAAATTTGAATTGATTTTAGCTTGAAATGGAGAATGATGATGTCATTGAGGTATATCAAGAACAAACAGGTGGTCACTAATTCAATTACAAAGGAAAAAAAAGGCTTATTATTTGATTCTAATATTTCTTAAAGTGAAAGTGACTAAACAAAAAAAGATGGACAAGTTTATAAGTATGCATATACATATTATATACACACGAACACAAATGGTTAAATAATAAGTAATTTCTTTTTGAATTCACATACGATATTATAAAATGTGTGTGCTGTCTTACATTCCTGTATCAAGAATCATCGCCGGGGAGGCTGTCCAACAAATCCCCAGATCATTTTGTAAAACATGCATGCGGACAGTTATGCCTTAACATTGCACACTGTTTCCGTCTTTTTAGTGTGTCATCAAGGCAACTTTCAGAAATAGAATAACTGAATTATCCGCCATTATAAATGCGTTTCACATATGTGACAAATTCCTTGTCCATTTGTATTTGTCCTTTGGAAATTTTAGTTTTTTTTTCCTCTTTTTTTTATGTATTACAGTAGATACACAAAAAAAAGATGTGAATATGATATAACAAATTGTTACATTTAAGATATAATAAAAGGAAGTGTAATTGTAAACCTTTTTTTTTCGAATAACTGCAATAATAATAAAAATTATTTGTGAAGCGCAAGTTTTGAACTTAGAAATACTTAGAATTGATATAATATACCTTGTTCTTTAGAAGGTTTAGAATATTTTTAGTTATAAGACATAATACATGTAGTGCGAATAATTTTTGGGTATTCTTCAGAAACTTATTCTTGGCGTTTTCGAGTAATTTCTTTTTAACTATGATGCGACTAACTTTTGCAATAAGTATTAAATTTATAAAAATTATATAAAAAATTTAAAAACATGAGAAGAATATAAAATGGAAATGATACAGTTATCATTATTGCATATGATATTTGTATTATTTAAATATGATTACTCAAAAAAGTAAATAAATATTGTTATTTCTTAATAATAGATAAGAGAAATAATAAAATTCAAGGCTCATTTTTATTTATACTTTTAACATATTTAATAATTATAAGATATTAATTCTTGGGTATTTAATTATATAAGTTTTATAGATTCTTATATACTATAAGCAAAAAAGAAGATACTTTTGAAAATAATAATATACAAATAGTCTTATTTTATGAGCATTAATTAATGATGCAATATATAACAAGCTATATTATTACATATTTACAATACAAAAATGAACTATTTCACAAACATATCTAAAATATATAGAGAATTTGGAATCAATTTGTAAAGTCTAAATTTTATATATACAGAATGATTTACGTATAACTCGCAATTTTAATTTTAATGACAGATTTGCCTATCAATTTTTAATTTGTATATATATATATATATATATATATATATATATATATATATCTTTATAATAAAAATTTATTATATATTTCTTAATGTGCTATGAATATATTACAGTAAAGTTTGCATCAATTTTAATTTGAAATGGAGAACGATGTCATTGAAATATATCAAGAACCAATGGTCATTAATTGAATTACAAAGAAAAACAAAAAATTAAATATGAAATTAAAAGATCACATCTAAAATATATCTAATATTTTAAATGAAATATATTTATATATTTAATACAATATATTTATTTAAAATTTAAAATTAATCAAACTTGTAATTTAATTTTTTAAATTCAATTTTTAGTTCATAACTTCTTTTACCCTAAAAATTTAGTTCATGAAAATTATTGCCAGCAAGTACTTTTAAAAAAAAATTAAAATTTATTGAAAATTCTGTCATTAAAATTAAAGTTATAAGATATGTGTGAAATACTTTACGTATATCTGTTATTCTGTTGTTCAAAAATATCCGATATATAAATTGTCTCGTAAACGATAACAAGCGATATGCCGCAAATCAATATTTCATTCGACATGTATGGTGTAGTAAAGATTATTAAAGAGATAACTTGCGAAGCGGATTCTTTCTCTCTCTTCGACGTCTAAATTCCGATGCTATAGATTATTAATTATACAGTAAATTTTCTCTAATAATTTTAAGAGAACCTTTAAAGATATTAAGATATGTGTAACCATTTGTAATTGATCAAAAATGTAAATATAAATTTATGCTTGTACACAATTATAAATTTAATAATTTTTAAAAGTACAATGAATTTAATGTCCAGTAATAATTAAATATAAAAATATAATATTCTCCGATATATATTAATGCAAAGAAAAAAAATACTGCCAAAAAGTAAAATTTTTAGATAAAAAAATAAGAATTATCTCTATGATATGGATAAAATCTATAATATATAATTATATATAATCCCTCCATATATAGATTATACATAGTATATATTACTAATAGATTATGTATCATCTATTAGATATATAATCTATAATAGATAGATAGATGTATAGATAACCATATATAATCATATATTCAACTATTAATTTATAATGTAAGAATAAAATATTTAAAAAATGCTAGTATTATTTCTATATATCTATAGCATCGGAGAATCCGGATTGAAATTTTATGCATGTACATAATTTCTATGACTTAACAGTAATAAATCTATATAACAAAACATTAATTTTAATGTTTTTCACGTATTATTGATATTAGGCGTAATGGTCACTATTCTATATTATATTCCAAAACAAGAAATTATCGATTTTGTTATCGTGTCATGCGCTTGTTGTCACGTGACAAAAATTTCTGATCGACATTTAGTGGATTCGACACGTTCTCGCATCTCTTGTTTTCCTTTTTAATTTTTTATTTCTCTATAAAAATTAAATATAACGAGAAGGAAGGGGTGTGTAAATAAAATAGTATTTCTGATTATATATAGATTCTAGTATCTTTGTCGTTGGGCATAAATACAGATTTAAAGATGTCAGTCTTCGACATTTCTTTCATATTTCTAGTAACATGATCTTGTTCATAGCAATATTATTTGGAAAATTAGTATATTTTATACATTAATGCTAAAATATAAATATTCGCGAAAAAATCTGCGTTTGCTTTACATACAATCTGCAAAGTGCTTCAGAAATAAGGAAACATAAATCCAAAATTGTATCTATCTTTAAAACAATTCAATTATTCAAAACTACACACGGGTTTTATCTCTTTGCGATTATCACTTGAATATTGTTTTCGCCTATAAAGTAGAAACGCTACATTCTATATAAGTACTTTTTTTTTATTAAGACGTATTTTATATATGTATATTATTAGGACGTATTTTATATATGTATATACAGAGTACGCATTTCACTTTAATCTTTTCTATAATAATCACTAAAATTAGTGGCTATTTAAAAAAAAATCAAATTATACTCTATTTCGACTATTTGTCAGTTTAACATATAATTTGAAAAAGAGACGTCAGCTTTTAATAATTTTTTTTTAACCACTGTTTCAGAGATAATTATGCGGAAATATTAAATTGGGAATGGTCCGATGTATATATTTAAATAAAATGTACAAGGTTTTATAATTTGAGAGCATCGTAAAATACATAAAATTTCTACATAATATGCATTAATCAAGTTACGCGTGACTATATGAACAAAATTTATTCTTTTCTTCAGACAAGTGTGTTTTTTTGTAATACTTTCATTTGTCATTTATATGCCTACTATATTTATTCAACTGCATAATAAATATATAATATCTATTAAGAGCGATCTATTTCTGTTAGTCTCTAAAGCGCGCGGGCATTACTACGAAAGGGCGAGGCATTTTGCATGAAAATAACTGCGGGAATTATAAGAACAAGATAGAAAAAAAAGAAAAGAGGGAGAAAGTCTTCTTGGAGTCTGAGATTAAGAGAGATGAGTGAGACGTAATAACATCGTGAGGGGTCACAAAGCATCGCGATGCCAGACCCATGATTTCTTCGTATGATCGAATCTATGTGCCAGCCATTGTTGTTCCAATAGTTGATACCTGTCCTGGCTAAGATATAGGGGTTTACCACGTCTGTAACAATAAAATTTATTTATAATAATTTATAATATAAGATAATATCAAGTATAAATAAGATATCATTTCTACTTTTAAATGTCTAATAATTTGTTTTATGAAAAAGAGAGAGAAAGGATTGTATTTAGACTATTAAGCGGCACTTAATTATTTTATATTTTTTTTATTATTTCGTGAATTGTACTCACTTTAGATCTCTGTCTTCTTCTTCGAAATCATCAAGATATAAAGATCCCCACAAGCACGCTCGTCGACCGCGTATCACGATAATGTAAGTCGAAGTCACTACGAGATAAATACCAGTTCCGCCTCCACAATCGATCGAATGCTACAAATGTATAAAAATATATTTGTATAAAATTTCTTTACAAATAAATAATAAATAAATCTGCTTCGTAGATAATATTTGCGTAGATATTTTTTGCGTATATACATAAAAGATGCTCACCTGAATAGCTTCGCATACATTCATCTGTTTGCAACAGTTTTGTTTAAGGCAGACGATAGTGCCGCACAACAAACAGATGCTAATTTCCTGCGGGACAGAATGGCATTGGCTGCATTGCCGCTCATGGTAGTACTAAAAAAAGAGATTACATGGAAATAAAAGTAATATATTATTAAATATAAATAAAGATATACGAACACACAATAGTTAAATCTTATAATTTAAATATTCTATATATAGACTTTATATACTATATATATATATATATATATATATATATATATATATATATATATATAGTCGTATTAATTATCGAGTTTTTCTAATATCTTTAAACACAAGGTATATTATTTTCTAACTACTGGATTACCGTGAAGATCTTTTCGTATTCTCTCGGGAGACTGAGCAACTTCGGCATATGCCAAGATATATGCTGTTCCACGATCAGGCCGCGGACTGGCTGATGATTTTGCCAATTGGCAAGAAATCCGAGTAATTGATCACACCAAAAAAGTGGCACCGAGACGCTCGCCTTTGGTTCTTGCCAATTTAAGGCCACTGTCGAATCGAAGCTGTCCCAACTCATGCCTTCTGTGACCAGCTCCAAATAGTACACCAATCTTACAAACTCGCTCTGCGGCGTTCTGATTAGAGGCAAAGGCTGTTCGTACAAGTGATAACGCAGCAACGAAGCTACTCGCAGAAACGGCAAACATAACGACTGGATCTAAATGTAAATCGATCGACGGAAAAATGGATATATAAATAATACATATATTTTGCAACATATTCGACTGAAGCAAGCTTTTATCTCTTTTCAAAAATTGTTATCGCTTAATTATTACATAAATGCCCAAGACAATTCATATCTTGCAATAAATTAATATTTTAGAAAATATTTGTTTTGGAAAAAAATTTACAGATCAAAACAATATTCGATTTGAAACACGTACTTGTTGTTCGATGCAGTGCGTTTTCACTTTGGCGTAAGTTGGCGAAGACGATGTAGACGGCTTGTCATCATCTGTACCGGAGTAAAGTCCGCTGTCACTAAAATATTCGATAACTTGGGCTAATATAGTCTCCGAGGGCGTGGTAGCGCAGCTATATCTCCTCTTCAAGATTGTGTTTCGTTCGGCTCGCGAGAAATTACAGCTTATCTGTAGTATTACTTGATAGTACAGCAAGTTGTAAAGGACCTTTACCACGCCCGAGAAGTACGCTATGGAAAAAGGATACATTAGTTATTTATTGCTCGATTATATTCCGGATATATGCCACGTAATCTATTTCGACATATAGTCCAAGAAAACGATACGTATAATCATTTGTTTTTGTCATAATACTACAACTGCAAATATAACTACAATGAAGAATTTCAGGAATTTTAATTAGAAAATGTCGCAACGTTAGAGTGAATGTAAAATCGAGATTATTTGATATATAATATTGAAATGTGCGCATACTTTGATCCAGATGCAACGGCAACAACAATATGAATTGAATGAGCATAGCAGTCGGGTCTCGCAGGAGTAAAGGAACCTCTCTTTCGCATGGTGTCAAGGCGAACGAAGATGTCGGTTCTTCTATCAGCGGTATAGCCAACTGCTGCCACACGTCATGTACCGGCCAGGTAACAAGTACACGAGCATGCATGGCCAAGACGTGAAGAAGCGCAACTGAAAGAAAAATACAAGTATCTTTCTGATTACAGTTTGTTCGTACAAATCTATAGATTAATATAATAAACGTACTACATGCGTACGAAAAAATAAATGGAAGGACAAGGTGAAATATTGATTGATAAATTAGTGCGTCAAGAGATGTTAACGTACCTATACAATCGCGTTTAGGCGTTAGAGGTATCGTAGTGGGCGGTGAATCGCACAACGATCCGCCACGCTGCACGAGTTCGATCTCAAAATTGGTTCGAGCTACTGAAGTTACGAAAAGGAACAAGCTTTGGTGACTAGGTTTACAGTTCTTTTGCTTATATTTTAGATACGTGCAAGTCGTCATATCCTCCATCGCTTTTCCCATCGCTACAGCTAGATTCGAAGAGATCTATAATAAACAATAAATATATTCAGCAATGTGTATTCGACATTTTATCGAAATGAATTATTCGAAATAATGGATAAAATATATAATGAATAAAAAGTTCATAAAAGAAGAAAAACATTTCACGTTTTCTGTAGGTACCGGATTTCGTTGTATCTCTTTGAGGAACGTGTTCAAATCTGCGAATATAGTCTTTGTGGAAGCGTGACGAGATCGCACCACTGCTGAGCACTCGCCTAATTGTGGCGACAACGGCAAAACAGAATTGGCTAACTGTCGACAAAGCGGACAGAAGTACTCCCCCCGTTCTACTGCCAGATTCTGTTGTCGTTGTTGACTACGAAGAGATTCCAAATAGGATTTTAAACAATCTAAGTGTAGGTGGTGACCGCACGTTTGTACATGGACACCGCCTTCCCAGCCTAGATTCACCGAGACTAGCCACGAAAACTGCAAGATTACAAAATATACAAATAATTATAGAAAATATAATTATAGAAAATAAGAATAATAATTATAGAAAATGTAATAAAGAAGTATTGTTTATAATTTCATATAACATAATTATATATATCATAATTTCATAGAACTGAAGAAAATATATAAAAAGCTGAAAGTGTCAAAAATATATGTATATTATTATTATGCATGTTATATATATGTGCTATTCGTTTACCGTGTGAAATAAACGACTCATTTCGTCCATTCTGCGGTCAAAATAAGCCCCTCGGGTATTTCCCTTCGGTATAGATGGATCCTCATCGGATGTGGGAAGAATTAGCCTGTCTGATTCTTGTCGTTCATGGCCAATGATACTAGTTGCCTACATCAAGAAAACACATATATATTTTAATTCATATTATAAAATATAAAATTCTTATGTTATTAAAATACCAATATCATTTTATGTGAGAAAAAGATAATAGGATGTTTCGATGATTAACATGAAAACAAACAAATGCATTACTTGAACTAATACAACAAGTCCCATTGGTTTATCTTCGCTACTGGGGGTAGTTTGATTACATATCACACAATCGTATTCTTTTTTACTAGCTAATTTAGTTGTGTTCTCCTCCTGATCCCAATCCATTCCAGATGCACCTGCTTCTTCTATAAAAAGGAGATAAGCATTTGATCAATGTAATTCAATAACTAAATCAAAGCTTTTTAATTTATATTCTTGTTGTTTGAATAAAATATCACAAATTAAAGTATAGAACTCTATTATATTATAAAATTATCTGTAATAACTTATATTTACAGTTTATATATATATAAATTTATTTTACCAGTCTTCATTGCTTTCTCCATAAATTGTTTCTGCTTGTTGGCAAATTCTGCCATCAGCTTTTGTTGCCTCTCCTTTGCTCTTCTTCGTCGCTCCTCTCGTTCGCGATTCTCTCTTTCTCGCTGCTCATCCTCCTCGCATTCTTGCATGCGGGGCCACAATTTGTTTCTAGTCTCGATAATAGTTTGTTTACATATAGGATCTAAATCCGCTATTTTTCTGAGTAGTTGTGATATGAAGAATGGCCCATCGCCAATCCGCGACTCACTCAGTGCGGAAGAATTACTACTATTACTATTACTATTACTGCTACTGCTGCTGCTGCTGCTACTGCTACTGCTGCTACTAGCTTCATTATCTGATATTGCACTCTGTTCAGGATTGTAGCTATCCGGTACACCCGACAATTGAGAATGTAATTTCAATAGCAGGGAAATTATGCTTTCTCCTACTTTTACAGTTTGTGGTTGCATCGATCCAGCCTAAAAGATATATGGATATTTTATAAGAAAAAAATATATGAATTGTGTATGTACAAATATATATATATATATATATATATATATATATATATATATAATGTGTGTGTGTGTGTGTATACGTATATATAAAAAAATATCATATTACCTGTGGTTCTCTCCTTTTAAAATGTTTGTGAGGGTTTGATGTGGATGGAACGATTTCTGTAGATCTATAGTTAACTGAATGTGCCGCGATTATCTCATTTCCGGCCATAACTGCCGGACGTTGAGGAGCAGGTGGTAACGCAGGCTGGTCGCCAATTGCATCTAATTATTAGTAAAAGAATATCATATAAAATAACTAAATTTTATTATAAGTCATATATTAAAATTAGAATAAAATTTATTAGAAATAAATTTAAAACAGATATATATTGAAATGATATTGTAATAAATGTAAGCACATACTATTTGGCGAAGGGGGCGATTCTATTGCTAGGGCCATAGATTCTTCTCCAGATGATGGTAGAGCTCTTTGCAGAGATATCCTTAAGTCATCCTCACTGTTACTACGAGGTATAGCAACGATTCTATCTTCAGGTACAATCAAATTATATTCCACTGTAATGTAATAAAATATGGTAACAATTGTGTACTTAAGTTTCTAAGAAAAATTTTATCAAACTTCTAAAAAAAATCAGATAATGGATATTATGAATGTCTCTCTGATAGAATATATTTTAAACAATATACACAATATACATATATATATATATATATATATATATATATATATGTATATATATGTATATATCTTTTCTTCATTATTGCAAAATAAATATTTTCGAATTAAAAATGTATATCATGCTATATATAATCTATAAAATATATAATTTATAAAAAATCCTGCTAACCACTTGTTGATGGTAAAGCTGGTAAGGGCCTAGCATTTTCGACTGACGGTGGTAAAGCCGACAAAGATGTTGCATTCGCATTCGATACACTATTGTCGTTCCTCGCAGTGTCTCCTGTATTCCTCATAGAAAATTCTAAAAATTTCAGAGCGTCTTTCTTCGTACTATTATTATAGTTGGTACTGTCATTTAGCATTAAAGATGTTGTCACTTCGCTCATTTCTCCTTGTACCTCCCACTCAAATTCACCTAATTATTATTAAATACATTAATGAATGTTTAAATGAATGTTACTATACATCAACACATTGCTGAGACTCGTTATCAGATTATTCTTATCATATTGTATAATATATTGTATTATATTGTATGTCAAATATATTTTTGTTTCTATATATTATCAACATTTTCTTTTTAGAAAATCACGTTATAAAAAAATGATATTGAGATTTGATGTTTTTAATATACTCATAAATATTTGATGTTTGTAATTATACTTACTGTCCGAGCTATTCGGCTCCGACTCTTGGACTAGAATCACTCGAGGTATCACTGTCCTCAGATTTTCGGACAAACTGTCACTTTTATACCATCCACCTAAATTCATATCCTTTATTACGCGAAAGCTGCTACGGGTATATTGACATAAAGGATTCACCTAGAAATGGTTATATCACCAAATTAATCACATGGATAGATTTAAAATAGATATTAAGAACACTTGTCTCTTAAGAAATAAATAAGTAATAAATCATTCTTGCTTATTTTTATTACTATTATATATTTTATTACTTATTATTTAGATTAAAAAAAATCTGAAAAGAGATGAAATTATTTTAAACAATCTAGAAAGTCAAAGTTATTTACAGATTTATCAGGTGAATCCGCAGTAATCACCGCCATCTCCAGAAGATAAACAGCTAATGCCATAACGTGCTCTGATATATTATGCCCATTTACAGCCTTATACAGTATTATCAGGATCATAGCATGAAAAACTCTGGTGCGTAGAACGATCCGAGGATCATCATAATCGGACGATACCGGAGCGGGATGCCTAAATGGAGGCCAAGGAGTAGCACTGTTTTTCAGTTTGCCTGATTGCTTCACGCTATAATGGAAAAATATACTTAACACAAACGGACTATTCTCTAAAGATAAACATATGTATTTGACTGATAAACGTACTATTCCGTAAAACGGTCCATGGATATTTGGAAGTCTCTCCTATGCACTGCTCGTAACAAAACATGCAAAGGATCGAAAAGCTCGTCCCATATCCGAGGCTTCGGTCCGTACATACCTTGCTGCATATTGCCACTCGCTTCAAGATTCGGAGCTCTATATTGCGCTACCTGTAAACGCATTATGCCAATAAAGCAAAATTAAAATCGTTTAATTTAAGATAAAAATTAAAATCGTTTAATTTAAAATTAAAATATAAAATTAGACAAAATATGTTATATCGAATTTAATATTTAAAATTCACAAAATTGTGATATGTAATAGGGGAAAAAAATTTTTGAAAGGAAATTAAAATAACGAAACATAATTCACCAACAACTTACATCAGCCAGGACAGATTCGAAGTCTCTGTTTTGAGTGGTTCCACAGCGTTCTGGCATCAGTTCCATTAGTTGGCTATGTGTCTTATCACCCATACACAATAGAGTCACCATTTCAAGACGAGACATCTCAGCATCCGATAAGCCTGGAACAAGAAAAATAAATGGCTTAATGATAGTATCACTTTAATTATTTTTTTACACTTTTAAAAAATATAGACAATAAGTAATTTTTAAAAAATTCTTAAGAAAAATTAATTAAAATCTCACCGAGATTTGTTCTCACGTTGACTAATGTAGCCAAGAATGTTAGACAACTCTCTAACATCGGCGTATCGTGCTCGCCCTCAAGATATTCATTTTGTGGAGCATTATACAAGCATAAACTCATCCATTCCTTCACATGAAATCTGTACAAATTTTGTTTAATGTATTAAATGATAATACATACATTCACAGGATTTAAAGCTATTTTCATATTTTTATTTATATAAATATATAAATTTATTGTAATTAAAATATTCACAACTATTGAAACATATTTTATTTCTATAAAAGAATCACGAATTATAGAAATTATATAAGTATATATTATTGTACTCGATATAAGCATATTATTGAAATTGAACGCAAAAATAAACAAAACAGAAAAACATTACTTTTCGATGATAGTTTTCAGAAAGACATCTGGCAATAATTTCGTGGCGCAAATTTGTAACAGATACAAATCTGCATCTACCATGGAATTGCAGAAATTACACTGAATATAAGTCATTGCTTGGCCCTTTATTTGGAGTCCGTTGCGAACCCATAATCCATTCAAGATTTCATAAAAAGCCACCTGAAAACAAAAACAAAACAAACAATTTATTTTATGTATCTAATACATATATTTATAATGAAAATATATTATAAATCTTGATATATAATTTTATTGTACCATATATTCAGTAAATTATAGTTTTCTAAAAATTTCTCTATACATAATTACATTACATTATAACATGTATGGTATTAATTATATGTGAAAACGACATTGTGGCGATTATAAACATCCTAAGAATGCGAAAAAACTGTTAATAAAATACACACTTTATCTCCACACAGTCTCTTTTACGATATATCATTGTGATTAAATTGTGTTAGCAAAACAATTTTTGATGACATATATACCATATACATGTATATCTAATCGCGTATCTCATGTAATGTGCAGAAGTCCATTGCATACAAACTTATATAAGAGAAATACAAACGCATTGCATAAGCATCTTTCCATTAAACATGCGCGATAGACCCTACATCTAACTTATTCACCTCTAATATAGTAATTTATATAATATATATATTAACGATTCTTCTTTATTAATTATCGCAGATAATAAATTATGTGTAACAGAATTTAAAATAATAATTTTTAATGCATGTTTTAAATATTTTCAGAAAAAAAAGAAAGGATTTTTTTCGAAATCAAAATAAAATTATTAAATAAAAATATTAAAATTATTAATTTAAAAAAAAACTAATCTTTTATATCTTTACATATTATATAAATATATTCAAAAATCTATTCCATCTCTTTTTAATCTCAATTAATTGTATCAAAACTTTACTTATAAATTTTAGGATTTGTATCCTAGGCTTTAATTTATCATTTTGTTTTTTATATCTACAATTTTTTTAAATGCAATGCTTTTTAAAAAACTTGTATTATATATTTACATATATATATATATACACATATTCGTGCTGAGATGAGAAAAGACAAAAAGATACAAAGCAGGAACGCAGCTAAAACGAACAGACCCATTCCATTCAAATACCGCGGCCGGGATATCCCCTACCATCTATCCATTGCCTTTCTCAGTCTGTTAACGGTCGTTTCATCCAGCCTTTAGTCCCGGCGTGTTAGCGTTGCCAGCAACAGTTACCGATATCTTTGACCTTATTATTTCGCGTTGTATGTTCCTCCCGAAATGGCCAAGTTCCGGGAAACTGTGATCCTCGTGCTGGTCCTAATTTGTAACAACAGCTATGGCTTTGATGTTAGTCTCAACGATGCGTTGGACATGATCAGGCTAGGTCGCGAGACGGTAGTGGAAGTTTTGGAATCCTGGGAAATGATCCGGCCTCATGCCAGCCACGAGTCAGAGAGTGATTTTCTATTCGTGAAAAGAATGGAGAAAGAATTGCGGCAGCGTATCGATCGGGTTTCCAAAAAGATCGACGAATACCAAGAACGGATGGAGACCAAGACCGACACGATCTTGACGCAGCTGCTGCTGCGATTGCCATTACAAAATAGACTAGATAATAGTCTGAGAGACTTGGATCATTACATCGGCCAAGTGCACGGATTGTACAATATATTCGAGATATATGCGAACAATCAGGACAGATATGAGAGGTACACAATGGTGCAGTTTGCAAAATCTTGCGTGTCGCCAAGATTGGGAGAACTTCCAGACGTTTTAAAGTCAATACACAGGATGATGGTGCCATCCGAACATCAGGTGTACAACAGAAGTATTCTGATGCTCCTGGCCAATCAGATGCAGGTAAGTTATATGCAGAGATTCTGCAATTTGTTAAAATAGTTGAAAAGATATCGGTGGATTTTCCGATTGATATTAGACAGCTTGGTGAATAAATATAAATAATTTCCTATTCCTTTTTTGTCGATTTGAAAAAGAGACTTTGTTCCATTTTTTTTAGATACAGATGAATGTATCTAGTCATCAATTTTGTGGAAAATAAAATGTATATACTTCGAGAAATTAAATTTATTCTATAAAGAGATTAAATTTACTATTGTTGACGTTGTATCAAAAGTTTGGCAATATAGAGATAAATGTGGAGAGATATTTCTATCCTTTAATATTAATGATAATAATATAAAAAAAATAAAATTGTTGTAAATAAAATTGTTCTCTCGAAAAATTTAATCTTCGATATATTAACTTGCTCTTATTTCATTGAAAATGATTATGTTTTTAAAATATATGCTATTTATATGCGATTTAAAACATATTAGAAGCGATATTATTAGAAATAAAATATATACAATATAAGTGCGATTATTTCTCTCATGGGAGTTTGTTTTATAAAGAATTTTTATTGATATGTCTTATTTCTATGAAAGTTATTTCATTCATCGCGTTGTATCTAAACTTAAATACTAATAGATTATAAGAAAATTAAATATTCTTTCAACTGCGAGAAATGTGCATCGTAACACTTAAATAAATAAAACGCTTATCGATAATTAAAATCATCGCAGATGATATTCAAGATTATTATGTTCAAATAGATGCAAAATATTCTTTGCTCTCAACTTATATTTTCAATTTATTTTTTTAACTCATTATTATATCATTTATTATTTATAAAAAAATTTAGCACTTATAATCTAACTATTTCTCTCAACTAATTCATCAGTTTATTATTTTATTATTACGCTTATCTTTTATTGTTTTATTTATTTTCACTGCTTTTCTTTATTCTCCAATTTGTCATTTATCGTTTATTGTCATGACTCAGTAACAAAGGGTGCGATAATTATATATATATGCGTAGGCACGCGTGTAAATAACGGCCCGTTCGTGGTAAGTATCCAAAGAGCGCGCGATAAACAGGAAGAACTGTCGTCGGCATTGTCCTCGACATACGCGCTGTCTATGTAAACTTGTGTCAATTTAGAGACAAGTCATGTGATGTTATTATAGAGAAATTAGTCACGAATCAAAGTCATGCGAATAAGCGGAATCCTTTCCCAGCTGGTGAATCTAGATTTCAGGTGACAAGCCGCAAAATGCGAACGTGAATGAAACGTTGAATTGCAACGAGCTTGGGCATCCCGTGTTATGAACAAATGACTCGATAACACATCGTAACAGGAACCCCATTGTATCTATTAAGTGCGGGCGGGTATTAGGTACTGAGAAGTGGTATCGCACTTTGGATCAAATGACTGTTATGAGGCTCGACATACTGCAATTTTACTTGCGATTTTATTCGCGAAAAGAGACAAAAAAACGGACATCATGTCAGCCGGAAGTCTGTCATTTTTTGATATTCTTTCCGGATACGCGATAAATAACATGAATTAACGCAAGCCGTTCGATTATAAATCGTTGCAAGTTAATTGACATCAGAATGTGCACGGATTTTATTTCCAAATCGTCTTAAATTCGCATTAAAAGATATGGAAATTGTAGCTACAATCTCAATTGTAATTATATATTAAATCGCCCTCTACACAGTTTCTTACGATCTATAATTTTCTATCTCGAATATGATTTATTACAAGGAAAAGAAATTTTTCTAAAATTGTCATCTTGAACAAAAATGCGGAAACATCAACAATTTTCGAATAATCAGCTATTGAAAATGAATAATTTTCGCAAACTAAACTTCAGAGAAAACAATGAGTGAGCAAATCTATATATATATATTCATCAATGGATTTTAGCAGAACTTCAACATGAGGGATTTAATTACAATATATAACGTTGAAAAGAATTGCAATATACAAATTATAATCGAATAATAACTTGTCTAATGCCCAAGGTTTTTTAATTTTTTGTATAATATATAACTTTCTTCTATTTTTCAATATTTTTATATACAAGATCTTTTAATCTTCTATGTAATATTCATGATATATTTTATTAATATTAATATCACATATATAATTCTAATAATTTTAATATTTATAATTTTTTAATATTCATAATTCTTAATGTAACTTGTTGCTACACATAAGTGTTAATATTGTTTATCTCAATATCGCACAATTTCAATAAAAATATTTATTATCCTTATAATTTTTCTGTTGAAAGTAATTTTCATGCAAATATCTTTCGCATCCATTCTCTCGCGTTCTCGTGGATACGTATGCAGTATGCATCGAATGAGACGCGAAAGGAGGGACACCACTACGAGTTCGGTATACATGAGGAGAACTTGGGGGGACCGATGCTAGGTAAAAGACATTGACGCATAACGTGAAACTCAGTCGAGTACGATCGGCCGATCGGTGAACGTGCGTGTTCGACGACTTGTATTAGTTACGTGCGTGTGTATGTGTATTGCTCTTGCGGTCTCGAGACGCAGTATAGTGTCCCGCATTCCGCGGACATGTAAAAAGGTGCCTTGTCGACGAAATTATTGACAGAACTTTGTTCCCTCTTTCAAACGTTCAACTTGTGTCCTCTAATAAACATAAATAACAAAGAACGCGTTAAAGAGAAATGAATTAGAACGCTCATGTAAATATATCCGTTTGAATATACACAGTATTAAAGAATTAATTTAAATTATATAAAATATCTCGGAAAAAAGTGTCTCAAATATGGCGAGATGACCTTTGAGTATTTTTTAGTTTTGATGACACTAAATTAACGTTAAAAGACATTTGAAAATTAGGGTATTATATTCTTTAAAATTTTAAAAGTTTTAAAAGTTTTTTTTTATTTTTATTACGTCTCTTCATCTTTCTCTATATTCATCTGCTTGATGATTTTATTTAGTCATTTACTTCGTTTCATTCACTGGTTATTGACTGATAAGAGAGATAATTATGTTTGTGTCTGTGTTATATAAAAGATAATAATTATTTATGTTGCTCGCAAGAATGAAACATCAAAGTGAATGTCAAACGATTAATCATTGAAACGAAATGGTCGACTTTCAGATTTAGCGAAATTTTCTTACAACTTTCATCTCACAAGTGACAGAAATATTGCGTTATTTTTTAAGAATTTCATAAAATTTTTTATCTTCAAATTATAATATCTCGCTATCATTAATTACAGATATGACAAAAGACATAAAAAAAAGTGTCGGTATAAAAATGAAAAATATTCTATTTTTTGTTAGTGTCTTTAAAAATTAATTATATTCATGTAAAAAGAATATTAATTATTAAAATATTGGTAGGAATGAGATGCGCCTAATAATTTCTACAAGTGTAAAAAGATCTGTTTTCTCAATTTTAAAATCAATATTTCAATTTTTTAAATTTATCACTCTGAATTTTCTATTTTCATTGATTTATATAAGAATTTCAAATCTTTAATGCTAAGAATAAATAAGAGTACAGAGTGCGGATTTATTCTTTCTATGAAATCAATGACGAGTTTCATAATTCTCTAAAATTTAAGAGCTTAGAACTGATTGGAAGTTACGAGGAAAAAAAAGAGAAGATGGAAAATAAGAAGGAAGGAGAAATCTTCGCGAAATATTCCACGACGTTTCTGCGGTTAACACAAGCGGTTATTTAATCCTCATCGAAAACAGTGTCACCCAATAGTTTCCTAGCCGTTCTAGATCATACACTAACGCGTCATTAACAGTCTCCTCCCTCTCTTATATCATGACCCCCCCCCCCCGACCGTGATCACATTCATCGTTCCGCTTAATGACGATCGCACCGATGTGTAAAGGTCGAATGGTTTGATCGAGAATATAATCTATACTTGGAATTGTATATCTCTACAATAAAAATTTATTAATAATAATAATAACAACAATAACAACAACAACAAATATATATATATATATATATATATATATATATATAAATAGAATAAAATTTATAATATCGTTTATAATATCTTTTCCAATCTTTGATTTTCTTTCCGCGTCTTCAGATACGAAAATTATCAAAAAGGTAAACACAGAGAGAAACTGACATTCTGTTAAGTGAATTATAAACGTGTGAGTCACCGTTGAAGGTTCGACTCCAAGAGGAAGAATGAGATACCTCACGTGCTTGTTAGCATTGGGAGCGTTGGCTGCGGCAGCCTTCGCCACGATCAAGAATGACACGTCGACAGTTGATGTGCTTATTGTTAGACAAGCTCTATTTCATCTGGAGAAGGAGCTGAAGAAAGATCTGGCTGACGAACGTAAATGGATCAACGCCGAAGCGCAAGAAAAGTACCTGTATCTTATCAGGACATACAAGAGATTCGGAGACCAAGTGGACGAACGATTTCCCCTGAACCGACGGGATTATCTGAATTCTTTGGATTCCCTGTGGCTCTGGGCCCGGGCCCAGACCGAGGCCAAAGGCGTCAATGGCCTGTACGGGGTGTTCAGGCAGATGCAGCGCGAGATTGTCGATCTGGATGCACCGATCAATGTTAAACAGTTGGCAAATTTCGCCGAGACGATCCTGCGGGATCCGAATGCTGCGATCCCGAGGGCTCTTGATCGCATCACGAATCTGATCGTCAACGAAAAATTGTTCATCGCGGCTTTTCAGGTATCTAGCCGAAGCAGCTGCGTGTCTTCTTAAGGGCCTATTCTAGCAGTATGAAAAATACATGATTTTAGGAATTTTTTCTGAAGAATATTAGGGATTTATAAGTTTTTTATATATGTTTTGATTGACGTTATTAAAGTAGTGTTATTTTGAAATTAAATATTTCAATTTCAGAATAAGCTGGAAGAAAGTAAATGTTTGTTCAGCACACAAGATACAAATGGTTTAGCGATATACTTTATGATAAATGCCGATTTCGATTTTGTTATTTTTAGAATTTTATAGATATCGAGAAAGTTTATAAAAGCAAATTTATGATGTCAGCCGAGAATTAGTTGTGATGCGTTTATTCTCGATTATAAATAATTAATTTTGAATGCTTCAATTTACATAAATATATTCAACGTCTCCGAAATATCTATAAAGTGTTTTTATACGTGCAGGAAGCGTCACAGCAACTGTGCAATGAGATGCAATCGCCGCAGCAACTGCTGTACAATTTGTACAATACCGTGGCGTTGACAGAGATCAAGGGTTATACTATGATCCAATTCTCCTACATGTTACTTCGTCTGTTCAACGAAGGTACTTGGCACCAACGATTACGTTTAAATATACACCCTATGTATTGTGTTTTTGACGTGGTACATGATTCATTGTACAATTAAGATCAATTTTCGCGAGCTCGTACTCCCACTTGAAACGCATCTGGATAAATAGATGTTTAAATTAAAAGCTAAATGTTGCAAAATAAAAGATTAGAAATTTGCGATAAGACCCTACAAAATAATTTATTTATAAAAATAAATGAAATTTTTTATTTCCGAATCGTCTGAATCGAAAAAGCTAGTGAGATGCACGATTACGATACATAAATATACCTAATTTCCTGAATTTAACACAGGCAATAACTTTAACGAGGAGATTCAGACGCTGAAAAATCAATATGGGATCAGGATGTCCGAAACGTTAAGAGCCGTCAAAGTCGCAATGGCTTTTGCCCCGAGAGATCTTTGGAGATGCGATCCCAGTGTACATAAATTAGGTAAAACTCCCTAAAAACAGAATAATTAATTTATATATCTCAATTGCAATATGATTTATAATTTATATATTGATTTGTTTAGATAAAACTTATACCGAATTGGAACAGCTGTTTCAAGGATTCATTGTAAACGAAGTAGATTTAAACAATGAAAACACGTGCAAGGAGAACTGCGGTTATTACACATATAGTAAGGTGCACGGTTGCTTTAAGAATCAATTTTGCGCGCAACAACGTCGGTGTAATGGCAAGATAGTGCAATGCGAGTACATCGATTCTGATATGTGGGTTTGTCCATCAGTAAGTATTTTTAGTTTCAAGATGCATAAGTGACCTTTATAAAAATTGTATACCACAGAAAGAAGTTTTTGATTTAAGTTGAAAAAATTTCAGTTGTATTGTACGAAGAAAAAAGAGCTAACAAATTTAAAAATCAAGTTTACATAAAATGGACAAATTAAACAATTAAAATTATTACTGAAAAATTAGAATTTCGAGATTAGAAAAAATAACGTAATCAAAAGTAGACTTATAATATTTTCTTATGATATTTTCCAATTAATTCGAATATTTTATTATTCATTTAGGATAAAGATAGCCATAGACGGTACGAATATATCGAGTATGAAAATGGTATCGTTTACGGAAACAAAAATACATGTCGCAGAAGTACGACCAAAGTCGATAGCTGGTGGCGATGGATTTTCTGGCATTGCAGTTATTGCTTTTGTTATTGCGACGATCATAATACGAGTTCCGATCGATATTTTAGTCTCCGATCCGTGACGTCCGATATCTCAAATAATAGGTAAGAATCGTGTAGCCAATTGAATGGAAAAATCAAGAATTAATAGAATTTGAAATGATATGCAATATAAAATTAAAAATATAATATCTATTCATTGACAGAGTTATAACGGGAATAAGATTAAAGAAGATAAATAAAATTATTCATATACAAATCCAAGAGGGCCAATTGTTACCACGAGGAGCAATTAATACGTCTACGACTGAATGGCAGCCGGTCGATGCCTTTTCGATCTCGGACTTTAACGTTAAAAGTGATATTGATTACCATAGACTCGTGTGGGAAAAACGCGCTTTGGACCTCGATGATTTACAGTCGTCGCAAGATCATCTCCTGACAGGTAATTCGAAAAATCGATTTTAATTGACATCTAAATTTTATGAAACTCGTCTATTATGTATTTTCAATATAAAATGTAACACTATTAATATGTATCATTCGTAAAAATAGAATTATATATAAACGTGAGTATATACAATAATATAAAATCTGATTTAGGCATTCGATTCCGAATGGTTGGTAGCCGTCTAAACTTGGAAATAATGGTGACTCCGTTCAATTTCACGTCCGGATTATTAATTCAACCTGAGGAAAAGAGCTTTTGGCATAGCAACGACATTACTGACAGGTAAGTAAAGTCTTTCTCTCTCCAGCTTAAGTTTAATATGATACAAATTTTCATATAATTTATAAATATTCATTTATTTTTTTATCATCGATTTAAAGCTCAATTTTTCATTATGACTTATACTTTCAGAACCGAGCTAAAGTTTATCGAACCCGACATACCGATTCGCGAATTCCTGCAGAATGTACCGGATTCTGCGGTGAATCAATATTTGAACTTCGCACCAAGCGATCGACGAAAGGATGCGGCGCAGAGCACGATTCCCTTCCTTGATATTCAACCAATTGTGCCAGACCCACCGGTACCGATCGCGGGTGCTGGTATCTTTCACAAGGGTCAAAGAAAATCAGGCGGGTTTGTCGCTTTAAAATTGATCACTTATGATTTCGCGCCACATCTACAAGTCGACCTACCACCAACACCACCAGTTCTGGAGACTCCGAACGAAATAACAGCCTCATAGAAAATTTTTCACACTTTTCATCAAAATAACGCATTAAAAAAACCTGTGATTTATATATATACACTAGGATATATATACACACAAGGACTTCACATCCTTAAGGAGTAGGTATCAAAATAAACGAAGGCAATGAATCGTCAAGTCATTGTGTATAAAATATTGGAGATCGAAAGTTTTAGTTTTATGGAAAAAAAAAACTTTGATAAATAAAGTAAATAATAAAAAAAATCAATATTGATATATAAAATTTAATAAACGAAATATATAAAATAATTTTATTTTAAAATTTTTTAAAACTTTCCATCTTTATGAGATTTTACTTTAGACTTTCTATATTTCGAATCAAAATGCGATTACGAAAATAATTTTTCACTTTAAGAAATATGGAAAACACATTGATTGATCATTTGCAATTATGTATATCTTGTTGGAAATCTAATGGAAATCTGATTACCAATTAAAATCCTTGTTATGAAATTAACATACAATAATTCAGATTAACTATATTTAAGTTCCCTCTTCTTTATAATTACATTTAAATAGAGATTTTCTTTCATTCATTTTATATTAAATATTAATACTCATAATAAATTAATCATATGTATACTAGTGCATCATGCATATCCCAAAATCAACAATTTACTAATAACTTATATCGTCAGTCTTGAACTCAACAGCTTTGTTTAATAAAAATGTTAGGTAATTGATTTATATCAAAATTTTACAATCACAAATTTTAAGTTTTCTTATGTGAATTAAATAAAATATAAAATAACTAAAATAAGAATTCATAAATAAATTGAAGTAATAAACATAAAACATAAAGCTTTAAAAGTTATATCAGCAGAAAAAATTATGTAATTATGTTAATTAAAATTATGTATAAAATTTTCTGGATCTATAAATTAATGACTTTTATACTGTGTTTTTTATAAGTGTGAAATATAACTAAAGTTTGATATAAATTTTGATTTATCATCAAATATGTGAATTAGATTCTTTTGTTTTTCAGTTTTTGTTATTTGAATATATATATATATCCATATTGCATGGATTTAAAAATTGTGGATGAGTATTTGATAGATTGTCACTTCTTTTCTACAATTCGATTTCGTTATCATTAAAATTTGTTTCAGAATTAGATTAAAGATTATAAGAAAATACTTCATCTTAGATTTAAGATTAATATTAGAATAGTATATATCATACGATAATTGCTTTTTTATTACATTGAAATTTTATGTTTGTAATGACTTTGTAAACAGTCTTTCAGATTTAGTTTGTAGTAGATATTATTGAATAATCAACTTTGTAATATTTTTATATTGTACAGGAATTTTTCCTTCCATGTAACTATAAATGCACACAAGTCTTTCAAAATAAATTTCCATAATCACATTTGTATGTATGTTAAATTTTTGCGAATAATATATATTATAGACATATATAAGTTAATATAATGTTAATAAGTGCTGTTAATTGAAAATAAGTTCAAGTTATTAATTCTTCGCAAATTGAAAAATTTTGATAATTTGTTTTAATCAAATCGAACAATTTCTAGTTCATTTTTTTTTAATTTAAATCTCTAGTCTAAGCATTGAAAGATAAATTTTATACTAAATCGAAAGGAATTAGGCTCGTTATGTATTAAACAACAAGATAAGAAAACTAGCGTCTCCGAGTCACAGCGGATGATAATGCCTAAAAATTCTTTAATTGTACGCGAAAATTTAAACGAGAACAAAGCATGTGCATATATTTTACTTGGTGCATTTACCAAGATCGCCCGGCAAGCGAACGACTCGGGTTTGATTCCCGATTCGACTTCGCCTCGATATTTTTCTCGTCTCTCTAGGGCGGTAAAGAGGGTTTTTATAGAATTTCTCAAAAATGAGAATCTATATATCTTGGTAACTGCACCAAGTAAAATATATACATATGCTTTGTTCTCGTTTAAATTTTCGCGTACAATTAAAGAATTTTTAGGTATTATCATTCGCTGTGGCTCGAAGACGCTAGTTTTCTTATCTTGTTGTTTAATAAATTTTATGAATTATAATGTTAGCCTTGTATATCATGGAATTACGAAGGATCAATGCAAGTAAAAAAAGAAGTAAAAAGTACTCACCTGAACTCGCAGTGGATGCATCATAAGGAGATGCAACATGTCTGTGGGCGGTAGTAACTCGCGTAGAGTCGCTCCCTGTTGTCTAATTGCCTGACACATAAACACGGCGAGATATCGATGAAGCGGCAGATGAAACGACACTTGCAGACTATCACTCTGAAAAAAGTGAAAAGAAATATGAATAAGTTTCTAATGCAATACATACACAAGAACAGAAGCAAACATTTGTACTTACTACGTTTGGATGAGTATAATTCACGGCATCTAACCAATCTTGCAAAGCCGTGAGGCAAAAGGCGAGTACTCGTCGACTTAATGTCGCACTTTCAGGTCCGCGAAGATGCGACACTAAGGCCCACATTGGGTACGCACTAGCCTCCAATTCCGCACTAAACGCTGCATAATAAGTGTTGGGTTCGAATTCGACATGCTGGCTCAACTCTCTTTGGTTGACGTTCATGCCTTGAAACATGGACAAAAAATCGAACCACATTTCCAAGAGAGTATTATCGCTCATAAATCTGACTGCGACTGGTTTGTGTGAGAGCACATTGTTTAAGTCGGACACCAATGGCCAATAACAATGTTCCTTCATCACTTGACGTCCACAATCCACGACATAATGAAAGTTCTTATCCGGATCTGAAATAAATCTTTCTTTAATCCTTGCTCTTTGATTTGGATTCATGCATTCTAGTCTAATTTGTAATTTTAAAGACTAGAATCTATACATACCATGCAAGGTATTCTCAATGAGTATTTTGCTCATCATGTATTTCAAACTGATAACCATAACATGTAACAATTTTAACTGGTCAACCATCCTTAATGCTAGCTTCTCGTTACTAAACAACTAAAAAGTTTTACAAAAATTAAAAATTAAGACATTACAAAAATATATGTAATATATGAAAAGAAATAAATACATTGTAAATGAAAATCTTATTTTCATATTATATAAAATGAGAATAAATATTATTTATATTTTCTTTTCTCTTTGATCATTATATGCTCTAACACTTTTTTTGGAAAACAATTTTTTAATACAATTATATTAATGAAAGTATAGTAATTTGTGTTTTGTGTTATAAGAAATTGTATAGACTATGATTAATGAAATATTCACAATATCTGTTATCTAAGTTTAATAAAATAAAATTACCTGTACGCTAACATGTACTACTCTATTGCTCAACGTATCGGGATCTGTGGAACGCTCGAGCATCATAGAGATTCTACTGTAGTGCAACACAAAGGCGCGGGTTAAAGCTTCCTTATAATCAGGATCTGGCAACATGTTCAATAATAGACAGACCAATTTTTGCGGAAATTCGTAAGCAACTGTCCAGAACATCAGTTCCTCCAAGAATGTGGTATGTTCCAAGTGTTCTTGAAGCGATACACATTCTGAAACGAAGCAAATCTCGTCATTAATGTTAATACAGCATATATATATAAATTGTTTAAATTTTTATCGAGTTGAAATTATTGTTAAAGTTATCGAAATTTTCGTAATTGTCCACAAATTACAATATCAATTACATTATTTACCTTTATATTCATCGGGTGGTTCTGGATTCGGCAACGATTTTACGGCATGCTGATATATTTTATTGCTATCTTGGCAATAACTATCATACTCGGATTGTCCCGTTAAGACCGAGGGATCCATGAGACCTCGATACTTTTGCGGATTCGTGAGAGCTGATGTCATAACGTGTCTCATTAATGCGCCCATATTGTTTAAATCGAGCAGCATAGTTAAATATGAATCTGCTTCATGTATAGCACCTCTATAATCTACATCCATTTTACTAAAATGCACAAAACAATAAATTAATAATATTTTTACTAATATGTATTATTACAGTATTATTTTTTTAAGTGAATATCTTTTTATGCATATATGTACATATATATATATATATATATATATATATATATATATATATATAAAATTTAAAAATGATTCTGAAATTTTACAAATATATTTTAAATCTCGAAAATTAAGACAGAGTCCTAATAAGTCTGCATCGCAAAAATTTCTTAACTTAAAAAAAATGTAGCCATTTTAAATTATATGGCACAAGTTAATTTAATTATAATTTTAGAATGTATGCAAGCTATTATAAAATATCAATTTGTTAGATGAAAAAATTAAAACTAGATAAAGATTTTTTACAAATTTCATATATGCTCTGTAAAATATAACAAAAAAAAATCACTATCCATTATTAAACTTATTATTAAAAAAATTAATAATAATTTTTGTAAATGTATATCTAACATACCAATTCTCGCGTAAATGTTGTATAAGTCGAAGAATAATTCTGGGCATCATTGCCTCGGCTACACACATCAGATCTGATGGTGCGACTGATTTATTTACAGCTGCCTTTGGCCCATGCCTATCACAAAATCTGTAACATAAAAAATAAATTAGTAACTGATGAAAAAAATATTTGGCAAATCTCGGTAAGGAAATCTGCTGTATTTCATTAAAATATTTGTAAAATTTCATTGAAAAAAATCAGTAATATTAAAAAAATTAAGATATATATATAGAGTAGGGAAATACTCTCAATATATATTCTACAGATTTCCATTACTGTGTGAGATGTTTTTGATAATTATTTTACCCAGTCTCCTTCATCACAGATGTATCGCCACAGTCACATGCACCACCTGCTTGGCTGAGAAACATATTGAAATCATGACGATGATGATTTCCTTTTTTGAAACACTCAGTACACAAGGACATACAAGGAGATATGCCACATGTACGACAGCGATATGCTACAAAGTTTGGTGTCCATACCAGACCACAAGTAGTAGCATTATCATAAGTACGTACTGCAAAAAAAAGCAAAAATTTAGTTAGTAAATAAAATGAGCGTTTTTATCCCTAATAAAATTCTTATTTCTTTTAGAAAATAATTCTATAAAAGTATATTTCTGTAATTATCATATTCTGTAATTATGTAATTTGTTAATAATGTTCATTGTATTATTAAAATTTTAAATTCAACATCCTAATATCTGAATATAAAATATATATAAAAGTGGAAAAATTAATTTATTTTTGAAATGTTTAAAATCATAGTTAATTCTTCTTAATAATATAAATACAAAATATAAACAATAAGTGATGTAAGTAATGCTATAGTTATACATGTTAGTTTTGATATATATTTTATATTATTTTTGTATAAAATAAATCTATAAAAACTAATGTTCCTTTCAATGTTTTCTTTAACTTATATAACATTTGGAACAGAAAGTACAATGTAATTCTTGTAACACAAGTTAGGTTAAATTCGCGTCGGCTATAGCTATAACTCTATACTTGTCTTCTCATAACTATATGTTTATCTGAAAAATTTAGCACTGCCAAATACGCAATTTGTGTATATTTATATCCAGACAACTTTTTTATAAATCTTGTGATGTCAAATAAAACGTTTTTAACTTTGAATTGAATTATTTATTAAAATGAAAAATGTAGTTCCACCAGTACCATACAATAACTCAATCGCAAAATTTATAAAGATATTTAATCTTGTCTGCAAACAAATTATATTGTTTAAATGTAAAAAATTAAATCTATTTATAAATTTTTATATCTGAATGCTGCATATGAATTTTATAATTTTAGATATTAATAGTTAAACAATTTATCAAAACCACAAATATTCTAAATATTAATATTATAAGTTATATATATATATATATATATGTTATATATAGTTATATAGTTATGTATAGTTGTATATATAGCATATATATTGTATATATAGTTATATATAGTTATATATATATATATATATATATATATATAATGTATATTTTTATAATTTTTATTATTGTAAATATATATCTAATAGAAATGTTTGACAAGTACTGAAAATATTATAAATTGCTGTTTGTATAATTTTGTTACATTGTATATTTTATACATTATGTATATTCTAATGCAAAAAGCTAAATATGCTAATCAAAGATCAACTTTTGTGTCAATATAGAGTTTCCTATGCACATAAAATGTTAATAATTGATCACAAACTACAAAAGGTGCTGATTATAAAACAATTTTTTTCCGTGTTGATCGCATCATCCATCGCATCGTTGAATAATTAAAACAACAAATAAAAGAACAAGAAATAACAACGATAAATAGGAATTTTTTCCAAGCTGCTCCAAAATGTCTCATGCATGTTAACAAGTTACAAAGGCAATTTTGCAGTCCGAATTTTTCGTATTATCGCGAACAATTTCAAGACACATAACTCTTCGCGAAAAATTCCAGAAATTCTCATTGCAAGATATCCCATAATCGCGGATATTCACCTGTACTGGCGAACTCGTCGGGCGTGCGTCCACCGGCCATCAACCACTTGCACCAGTCGATGGTCTCCCAATCGTCGATGGGCTTGCTGGGGTTCAACAGGACGTTCAGCAGCTCGTTGAGATACGGTGGACAACCGCCGGTGTCTCGACCCGTGGTCAAGCTGATGTAGGCGGCCGCCCCTCGCTTGCCCTTGCCCATCAGCACCTGGACATCGGGCGACGTGCTGCTGGAGGTCGACGCCATCCTGAGCCTGTTGTCTATCTTAGAAAGGAACGTCGCACTCTTCGAGAATCAGATGAGTTTTATTTATTCCCGAAGCAGAAAGAGCTCGCGCTGAGGACCAAGCGCTCGACGAACGGCCCCATATCAGCAGTGGATGGACGCGACTCTTCCCTTCGATCCGGGAAACGTTGCCCTCGTCGTCGGCGCGACCGCTGCGATTGACAGCAGATGAGGTCGCCGACGAAGCCCGTTAACGTCGCGGCGTCGCGGCGTCACGGCGCCACGACGTACGGTGCGGTAATCGCAAGAGATGAACGGTGATCCGTCGTCCCTCTGGGTCTCTAGCTGGAGTCTTCTCCGGGCACCGGTCCGCGACGAATATACCGTACGGATCACGCTCAGTGGATGCCCCTACGCGACACGGTACAGAACAGCACGACACGATATGACCGACACGACACGGTATAGATGCGGATACAGTATAACGCGAGGACGTGAGGACAGACTATGTACGACAGATCATCGATCAACGAGTCGATCGATCGAGGGGAAGAGCCGAGGAAATTGGCGACCAAGACGACTAATACGAGATCAGGCGATCAGCCAGTCCCCAATGTCAAGTCCCACTGACGCGTCCACTTGCTACTTGCTCGACAATCCGACTGACCGAGCTGCTTTATTGACGTGGTGAGGTGAAACATATATAAGCGAAGATCCTCTAATGGCTGAGTTCCGTAAAGCGCATATGCGCGCACGTACCTATAGTATCCGTCACGTATACTGTAGGTAAATACGCGATATGCGCTTTACGGAATTCGGCCAATACGAGTTTGGGCACGGGTGACTTCTTGCTGATTGGTCCAAAGATTCTTAGAACAAAAATGGCGAAACCAATAAAAAGTTGTTTCGACGTTATTATTCTATAGATATAATATCCCTAAGAAACAAAGCTTCTTATTGGATATTATAGATTGGACATTGGACGGTTTGAATCTTCTATAAACTCTATAAATATCTAATTGATCATGCGTAGCATAATATTCGGAAATCGAATTAATGAATTTTATTACTTTTTATTTATATCGTTGATTAAAAAATTGTAATTTCTACATGTGAGCAGATTTTGCCCAACGCAATGATATTTTTCTTGAAATGGCAAAACTGTGAAATTCTAACTAGGCGCATGCGTGAAAAAATCCTAGCGACGCTAGTCTCTAACCAGCTGGTCAGCAACCCTAGCCTCGCTGCTTCTTTCTTTACGTTTCGGGTAAAATCGTGCGTGTATGGTATTGTAATAAACAAATTACAAATCGCAGGTAATCTTTCGTGATAGAACCCATCGGATTTGCATCAATGTGATAAAGGATATATAAAATCCATCCGCGTATCTTAGTGATCGAATTTCGCGATTGCGACCAAGTATCGGCGAAATATTGAAATGCAAAGTGAACCGGTCGCGATCGTCGTTTATGCAGCTGTTTTCTTAGTTTGAAAAAATTACATCGCGTTGACACGAGAGAGCAATACTTATAATTATCAAACAATCGGTTTATTTATATTTTTAGACGACCTGTGCAATAATCAATCCAATTACTTGTAGATACATATTTTCACAAAGATCAGGTTAACTTAGGTTAGATTGTATCGTAGGAAAATTAAAAAAGGAATAGGATCGCGAATAGAAATATGTAATAGTTTTGATTTATACAACAGAGTCATATTTTTTCATTAACTGACTTGTAATAAAATAAATTTATGAATTAACTTTTCTTAGAAGAAATTAGGTTTTTATAATAAAATGATTTATACATTACTGCACAATGTGAACATATATGTTTGATATTTACCATGATTTTGATTTTCAGCCATGGTGCGTATGAATGTTCTCAGTGATGCTCTCAAGTCTATCAACAATGCCGAAAAGCGTGGGAAACGACAGGTGCTGTTGAGGCCCTGCTCCAAAGTAATTGTCAAATTCTTGACTGTCATGATGAAGCATGGTGAGTTATTCTAGTACTAAGAAAAGTTTATACTATTAATATACTATTATTAATATAATAATGTATATTTTATTTCTTATAAATATAATTTTGCATATATATATTTTTATTATCTCATTACTTTTATATGTATAATTTTACATATTTTATTATCTTTAAAAATATATAATTTTTCTTTATATATGTATGAAGAAAGACTTGAAATCATACTTTAAATAAATATCTTTGTTACATACAGGATATATTGGAGAGTTCGAAATTGTGGATGATCATCGCAGTGGAAAAGTGGTAGTCAATCTTACCGGAAGGTTAAATAAATGTGGTGTTATTTCTCCTAGATTTGATGTACCAATCAATGATATTGAGAAATGGACCAACAATCTCTTACCTTCTCGACAATTCGGGTAAGTGCATGTCTGTAAATAATACGAAATTTTAGTCTATAAAGAATGATTATAATGATATTTATGTTAAAGCAATTTTATATTGTTTGATAATTTATAATAAATTATCAAGATAATTACATATAATAATACAAAATAGTAATAAAACAAATTTAAAATAAAAATTAATTACAAATCTATTTAAATTCAAAAATTTAAAGTAAACAATTCTGTAACACATATTGTACTATATATTGTATTATGTTATATTACATATATTATATTTATATTCTAGATATGTCGTATTGACCACTAGTGGAGGAATCATGGACCATGAAGAAGCTAGGAGAAAACATCTTGGAGGGAAAATATTGGGTTTCTTCTTTTAAATTTTTATTTAAATAAATAAAGAATAAAAACCTTGTATGACTGTTCCAAAATCCAAGTACCTATCTGTTTAAATTTTGATTCTTTTTTTTTTTTAATTATATAAGAAAATCGTTTATGTCTTATAAAGAGAGATATATTTAATTTTCTCTTGATTACAATCAATATTAAATTTTCAATCGAACTTTTACACATAGGATATTAAAAAGGCCTCCTTAAATTGAAAATGATTGAAATACGATCCAAATCTATAATTTTAAATATTATTTTAGCTTTAATACAGAGAATATAGAGTTCATAAAATGTATGTTTAAAAAAACAAATTTACTAATATTTTAAGTATTTTTTTTCCTTTCGGTTGAAATTTTCTATAAAAATTGTGTAATTGATATGTAGTTAAATATTATACATGTAGAGTTCGCGCGCGCGCGTGCATACACATCGATATTTCAATATCATATAGTTGGCGGCGCTGAGTAACTGCATTGAAGGAGCCACAATCGCTTGTTTCTTTGTTACGATTGCTATATATTTATATTTCTGAATTGAAAGGTATAATCTCTTTGTCTATCATTGCAATAGAGTCCAGCTCGAAATATGGCCAAAACTAAGACGATTAGCAAAGGATGTCCCAAGTGCGAACAACAGGTATTTTTAAATGGTCTCTTTCGTACATATTTATATTTATTTATTAAATATAGTATATCGTATACGTAAAGTTATATATTATTTGTGTTTTATAATATTCTCAATCCGCCATGAATAATTCTACCTTTCTTCTACTTTGCTATGTGCTTATCAAATATCTTCTATTTTAAGTAAATTTTTCATAGATAAATTTGATGTTAAAAATATATGTAAAATACGAATAAGAAATAAAATATAATTTTTTTTTTTCTTGTAGATTTGTTTCTAAGTGTATATATATTACATTATATATATATATATGTATATGTGTGTATATATATATACATACATACATATATATATATACACACACACATACATGCTTATATCGAATATTGATTGAATTTAATACATTAATTTAAAAAGAAGGGGAAAATGATTAAATAATTTATATTTATAATATATTGATTATATATAAAAGATTTTATTTAATAATATTTTTATTAATAAACATTAAAATAAATTTTTTTTGCTTGTTGCTGATATATATATATATATATATATATATATATATATATATATATATATATACATATATATATATTTTTTTTTTTATTTATTTGCCATAATTCGTGCATTGAATAAAAATATATTAATATATATACACACACATACATATATATATATATATATATATATATATATATATGTATAAATTTAATTATTTTATTATAATTTTATTATATTTTATAAGGTACCTGTTGCCTGTAAAGCTTGTCCCTGTGGACATTCCTTCTTCAATGCACGGCGCAATTCCATCAAAAGTCCACCAAGTCCTGATGGTGGAGTGATGAAGACAAGGAGAACTAATCGTATTAAACGCGAGAAACCAAATTATTACGATGCTTTGGAATATGACAAACAGACAAAAAAAAATACCAAAGTAATAATTAGAATTATATTATAGAATATTTATAGAAAATAAAATATTATTTTTACAGTAATACTCAGTTGCATAGATTTATACAGTATTTATAGTATATTCTGTCTTAATATTATTGCATATAAAATATATTTCTTCTCTATCTAAAATATTTCATATTATTATATATAGAAATTATTCTGTTCTTTTAGATCAGACGGACTATAGATACTGCAAATGATATTGATTGTCGGCAGTTGAACAAAAAGAAGAAGCGGAAAGGAAAGGGAAAGGGCAAAAGTGGCAGTAATAGTGGAGTAGGTGATGATGATGATGAAATGGATGGGATCAATGGTTTATCTCCAGAGAAACAACTCACTTGTTCTCTCATATTGCAAGAACTGAACAACAAAATGAGAGTGGTAGCTTGGAAGCCTACATGAAATTAAAATTAGATACAGATACATGCGTATCTCTTTGACAAATCTGACATCAGTTCAACACGATTGCTTTACTACGTACAGTGGCGTAGTGAGGCGCAAATAAAACAAAGGTAAGCAGTGTAATGCGAGTTCCTATGGCATCGGAAATTTACCGATATACATCGATTTCAGTCCCTATACAGATTTATCTACAAACATAATTAACTGCCATAAAAAGTCTCTAATCAATTTAATATTCTTTATGTTACCATGCTATTGTGGATTATTATTCATTGATAATTGTGATTATCTCAAAACTGTTGTATATGAGATATATAGACTTGTAATTTTATTGTTTTGCATTCTCTTGGCACATTCATACTGCCTATATTTGTATCTCACAAATTCAGAATTTTATTCATCCGATATTAAAATTACATATAGTGATGTAATTGTTACGTCAGACTTGTAATCATGACTGCCATATATAGCTCTTAATGGAATACAAATACAGACTTTAAAGTTTACAGACATCACAGTTTAACAAAATCTTCCAAATCTATTTTATAGCAACCGTTATACTTACCTATTAAGAAAATTAAAAATACGTAAAAGTCATGACCTAATGTGTACTTTACTTACATAAATACATAGATTTATCTGTAAAATAATTTTTTACATTTGTCATCGTCGTTTTAAATGTTGTGTACAATTCTCCAAAATATCAATTTCGTATACGTATATATTAAGGGCTGAATTATGGTAATAAAGATTTGTATATAATAAAGATGTATATAATAAAGATAAATAAGATAAAAAGATTTTATTTTAAAACTGGATTTATATTTAACATGTTTATTATTCTCATGAAGCTCTCAATAGATTACTTGGATTAATCAGAAATAATATGTGATTGGAAAGTACTTAAACTTTGAAATGTCAAGAAAAATGCCAAAAATATTTGAAGAATAATTTGACAGATAAAATACATTTACAATGAACGTATTAATTTCTAATTTATATTTAATTTATTTAAATTAAATTAACCTATTGCATATTTTGCAAAAATATACTATACTTGCAATATGGAAAATGACAAATCGATGAATAGGAGTTTATTAATACTTGGAAAAAGCTCAATAAACGCAATAATGTTTCTTTTTTTTTTGTGACAACTGTTATGATTTATTTATTTTCCTATTACACATTAGATCACTTCACATTATCAACGATCACATTTTCAAAATAATTTACTCTTTTACGGTATCTTCTTGACGATTGTTATTCTCGGTGTTTACGGGCAGCTTTGTTGCTGTTGGATCTGTCTGGTTCTCATTGACCAAAAGTAGAGGTAAACCTCCTACAACCATACATGTACCCATACACAGAAAACACACGGTATAACTTCCGGTTACATCACGCAAGTAACCTGGAACAATTTATAGGAGAGAATTATATAGGAGTTATATAGGAGAGAATCTTATAAAAATGAATAAATATATATGCTAATATATATAATGCTGATTTAAATATAAAGAGTATCATGTGTGTGCAATCATTTCAGGGATAGATTCTTCAATTCTTTATTTTTAGCTTATGTTTCTTAATGTAAAAAATTTGATGTTAGAAACAAATATATCATTTCTTCATACAAAATTAAGTTTAGAGATTTACTTGTAATTAAATAAGAAATATAGGATTTTGCTATAAAGTTTAATTTGTGAAAATATCCACTTTTAATCATTTGTAATTTGAATGGATTTTCTTTAACATGTGATATTTTTTGAAATTTTCTCCAAGGAAAAATCGATTTCAAATTTATATATTAATATATAATTTGATTGCATAATATTTGATCTAGTCTTTAATTATATTAATACAATATTATATCAATTAAAATAATTTTATTAAGAGAAGAAAAATAATATCTCGAAAAAAGCTGTTGATAATAATCTCAAGGTAATTCATCATAAAAAAATCATTGAACTAAAAAGCATCCCCCATAAACTGATATATATTGTATGCGCGCATGCAGCTTTTATATTTTTATCTTCGCACCTTTGACATAATTATGTGCACATAATTAACATGATATATAGTATGATTCAATATTCTTGCTGTTGTTTCTGAGAGTACAACGGGAAATATTTCGTGCATTATTTCCCCACAGTTCTAGATTTTTAAAATAATTAATAAAAATTTAAATTATGTGAATATAATTAATGTAAAAGAATATTTATTTGAAAAATTAAATTTAAAGACTGCTTTTGGAAAATAACAGTATATAGTTCTACAGCTGAAAAGTACCAGTGAGTGGTGGAATGGAAATCGCACCGAAGCTCTGGAACATCCTCACCAGACCGTAGCTGGACGATATTTTGTCGGTGCCATATTGATCGGCGAGCAGGACGGGAACTAGGAGAAACCAACAACCTAGGCATAGTCCATACATTCCGACGGAACACGCCAATACATAAAAGGAGTGAGCCATCGGGATTGCGAGGACCGCCACGCCGGCACCCACTACACTACTCGATGACAACAGAAAATACATCGGTATAAATAATTATGCTTTGATCCGTATTTCCTTCAAGCTTTGTTAGGCATTGAAGAATTTTGCTAAAAATATCGTTTCAAGATACTTAATTGTCTGTTTATTTAATATTCAGACTGAGGAGAGTGTAAAATAGAATCTCCAGGATCCTAAAATAGTTTTCACATGTGGTAATTTCGGAACAGAAAATAAAACAAATAGAAACGAATCGATTACAAATATTAGAGTTAATCTTTGTGATATTTGACAAAATGTGATCAGAAATATTATTATAAAGATAAGAATTTTTTATATGGTATCAAGTTTGTTATTTTTTTTTATAATCGAGATGCGGCATATTCCATAATCATTTTTTCACGCTTGGATTAGATTTCACGAAGACAAAAGCACATGTCGTGCGTAAATAAAATCGCTCACCTTCCGATATATCCTTTCCGTCGATCAAATAGCTTGAGATCCGACAGCCAGCCGAGGCCGAGTCTACCGCACAAGTCGAGAGCAGCGGAGATAGCTACTAGATAACCAGCCTCCGACTTAGTGTAACCGGCAGCGTGGACGTACGCTGGCAGATAATACAGCATGTACGGACTGCCAGTGGACATCAAACAGACGGAGATGCACATCATGATGAATTGTGGATCCTTCAGCAACGAGAGATCGATATAGCGCGTTAGTTTCTGCATGAACGTGATCTTGGATTCCGTCGACGTCGCTGTTGGTGTCAAGGATGGCAATCTGCTTGGCGGCGACGGCGGTGGCTGTTGTTGTTCTGGTGGGCCCATCGCCGTCACAGACGATCTCAACGATCTTAGCGATGATCTTGCTTTGTACACGCATGTCGAATCCGTCGATAGATCTTCCACGCTGTGCAGGATGCTGGAACTGCGAATCTTAGAAATGGGCTTCAAGCGGAGACCCTCGCCCATCACATCCTTCTCCTCGTCGCTATCTGTCAACTCGACTGCCACCACACCGCTGTTCTGATGAAACAATTCATTCAACATATTGTGTCGGGCAGTTGGATCGTTGGCGAATAACAATTCCAGTTTCTGTTGCGTCGACTTGTCCTGATCCTGCTAGAAAGTAAATTATAATCCATCGTCACTTCTTACACTAGGCTATCGACTAATCGTTATTATAAATTGATTATATTTTTTTTGTCTAACGACACAATAGAAGAAAATATATTTAAAGAAAAAAAATTAGCAAAACTGAGAAACTAGATTTTTATATTTTTAATATGTAAAATATATAATATTAAAGAAGATATCAAAAAATAGTCTGTGGTGTATCTAATAAATATTGATATCAATAATAAATATATGTATGTATGTATGCATATATGTATAAATTGAGAAGATTTTAAACTTATTGAAAATCTTCACCTGCTCTTTCATTTCGTTCTCGATCTTTACCAAGACGTTTTCCTCAGGTGCGTAATTTTCGTCTAGTGGCCGATATAGCGTCGCGCTAACGCACACATGCAACATACAACCGCCCAACAGCAATATCGTGCCGTGGAAACCAAAATCTTTCACCAGAAACTCGATCAGAAGCGGGAACATGAAGCTACCCGCGGCAGTGCCGGATACACAGATGCCGTTAGCCAGTGCACGATGCTTATCGAAATATTGCGACACCAAGATTATACCTGGCGTCGTGGACAAACCGCCGCCGATACCTAAAAAGATTTTTTTCCTCGATAATTATGCATTAAAGTGTCGAGGAAACATAATAGAAGCAAGCATAATTTAACAAACCTGTTAGCACTCCAAATGTAAAAAAGAGGTGTATCAGTCGCGTGGCAAAATAACTAGTTGTAAGTCCTAGAGCGCAGAAAAGTCCTCCCACAAAAACCACCGTTCGACAGCTGTATTTCTGGCAGAGCATACTCGTTACCGGAGCTGCAATTGAAATATCGATTTAATACATAAAATGATATATTGATGTATATTAAGAAAGAGTAGAAAATTGAGTTTTGATTTATGGTTGAAGAGCTTCTTGCCGATATTTTTAAAAAAGGAAGATTGTATACTACAACGTTATTGGATGAAAATTTTATATTATTTAATATTTACATATATATTTGTGATTCGAAAATCACGAAAAGTAAAATGTAAAGTATTATAAAATAATATTCATTAACGTAACGTATTTAAAAAAGCATCTTGCAAAAGTTTCCATAAAACTTTCTGAATCCCAAAAATTTTTCGTATACAATCATCTAATAAATTATTGATGAACTAATAAATTCCAAAAACAAACAAGTAATCAACTGATAATAAATTTCAAGTACCGGTAATTTCAGGCAATCGACTGCTTAAGAAGACGATAAAAACAGAATAGAATTTTTTACGATGAAGATTTACCGAGCGCTAGACATAGGCACGTCAAAATCGCCGGTATCCAGGATGCGACCGAAGCAGACGAGTCCTTGAAAGTCTCCATGACCTCGACGTAGAGCACGCCATAGGACTTGACCAACCCAGCCACCCAAAACTGCACGAAGAAGGCGCCGAATACCACCACCCAGCCGTAACCACCATCCAGAGGAACGTACGTGGTGTTTCGAGGTTTCCTCTCGTTTCTTTGTCGGGATTTTCTTCCTTTCGGGGCTATACACTTGACAGACCTAAACATTATTATGACATTGTTATTCAAACGAATAATTATTCACGAATTTACGAAAATATGAAATTATTTGCGAATACACTGCACATAATACACAGCGATTTTTTTTACTGTAGCTATACGATTTTTGAACAATTGCATTTCTTTGGAAAACATTCTAATATATTTGGAGATTGAAAGAGAAATTTTAGAAAAAATTACTTGGCGAACGCGATAAGATATTTCACATATTAAAAAAATAATCTGTAGAAGTATCAATTTAATTGAAGAAACAATCGTATTAACTTAAGGGAAATAGGTCAACGTTTGTTAAAACTGAAGTACTTTTGAAAGTATATGCTTTATTTGCTATTGCAAATGTTGTGAAATTTTTAATCGATGTCTTCTTGATAGCACCTCGGATATGCATTCCCCGACACTGACCTGAGCTCCCTAGACTTAGCGATGAGCGGCCGGGCAGTGAGGCTAGATATCGTCAGCAGGTTGTCATTGTCCTCATCCTCGAGCAAAGTGCCTTCGGGACTCTGCAAATGCGGCGGCACGATCGGGGTTGACGTCGCCGTTGCCTGAACCGCCAGAGATCCTGGTTGATTCGGCGACGGTGCCCCGACAGCGACACTGCCACTCAGGTCGAACACCGGCGCCGAATGGATGGAGAAGAGCGAGCCTAGCTGCGTCGCCGGTTGATTATTCATGTTCTCGTCGATTATCGCGCTACTGCCTGTGACAACCATCTCCTGGGAGGACGCTGCCGTTGGGATGACGCCGATGTCGGCGTCCACCAGTAGGCTCGATGCCCGACACGCGTCCTGAAAGCTCCATTCCCGTGGTAGCGACATATTTCCTCGGCGGCTTTCTCTGTGGAACCGGGGGAACCGTAATGCATTGGATTATATTACTTGGTTGGTCGCCCGTGGTTTACTTGTACTTTGATCTCTTCTCTAGTCGTCTGACGGTTCCTCGAGCTTTCTCCTCGATCACTCTCCACACCAGATTCACCTTCTTCTCCACTGAATGGAGAACGAATTTATCTCTCTACCTAGTAAACGATATTCACCTATCGTAATGGTGCCGTTACAATGATGTATGCAACCCCTTTCGTTTCTTTCCTTTCCTTACTGTATTCGTCGAGCCCCTCAGTGGGGCTTCGAGGCTTCTTGATTTGGCTTTTAAACTGAATGAGCAGGAGTAGGTGAAAAAGTTGATGCGATCAGGATCCTCTTGTCTAATTATCAAAACGCTTCTCCCGACCTTGTAGAGTAGACTAAGACTCTCGGTGAACACACGGTGAGTTCGGGGGTGCGCACGCAGTCTGTGTGGTGGAGGGTTGCCATTAACTGGAAATTTACAGTAGGATCGATACATGTCGGTTGTGCTGACGCGCAAAGACAATCTTCGTGAAAATCACCCACGTGCGAACGCACTGACAGAGGAAAAACCGTGTGCATCATATATATATATAACGAACACGAAACAAAACAATCTATCGTTTTTTTGGCCAACATAAAACTGGGTTACATGCATATGGAAAAATAGTATAAGTTTAAGAGAGAAAGTAACAAGTCAAGCTATATTTCAAATAACTCACATATAGAGCGTTAGCAACCGGAGTGTTGGCAATTGGATGAAACTTGATTGTACCGAAAACATATAAATTGCTTAGATGATGACAAGACTCTGCGTCACGCTCGATATATAATTGTATATCTATAGAAAATATAAAGTTTTTCAATAAAGACAAGAATATGATGAATCATTATGCTTGAAGCCTGTATATAAAGTTTCATATAACTAGATTTTTTGATTGCATTAAGAAAATAAAGACTCAAAAGAAAAGCTCAAAAGAAAAATTGATGTTATTTAATTCATATTTCTACATTTATATAGTAATGTAAAACTTTCTCATGAAAGAAGATATATTACAAATTACTACGTTTGAAACACTTTGTCTTTGGAATACTGGTAACTAGATAAATCTTTGTTTCAAAAAAATATTATCTCAATAATTCTTACAAAAAAGTACATTTTTATAAAAAAAATTATGGTCGCTTTTTAATGTAATATGTAATAATTATTACCAAAAAATATTTATTATATAAGAATTTTATATAATGTGTAAATAAGCATTAAATAATATGATATATACTTTCTTAAAATTGTGGAATTTATTGATGCGATATCTCATAATGTAATTGAATGTAAATGAACAAATATGATTAATGTAACTGAGTAAATAGTATGATTAATGTAAATGAGTATTTTGCTGAATCGTTATAGCATTACATTGATGATTGTATCAAAATTTACTCTCGTCATTTAAATAAGAACAATATTTGATATTTTTTCCGATTGAAGTGAGATTGCCAGTCATCGGAAATTTTCGAAATCTTTATCATTAAAAAGCTTCGCATTGCGGTTTAATTGTCTCCTTGATGTCGACCTTCGCTCATCATTACGTAATCTAGCGTGCATCGTTTGTCCTTGCGATTGTCATAATTATCAAACAGCAATTATAGGGGAAATGCACGCAGGGATGACTGTTTTACGAATTGCTGCCGAATGTAATTCAGTCATAAGTTGGAAAAAAATTATTAATATGCTATTAATTTATTATTATTTAGTTTATTGTTATTTAATATTATTTGATAATTTTGTTGAAAAAATTAAGTTATCTCATCAATTTATCTTTCAAAATAATATCTCAGAATTACTTCTAAGATAAATCTTGCATAATAAACAAAAAATTTGTAGAGCACACATAAAAATAGAATATAGAAATAATAATATCGATAATAAATATTTAAACATATCATTTTACCGCGATCAACCCTGTTTGAATTTAGCGATTTCTCAATAATCAACCTCCTGTGATGGGGGTAACTTCTATGCGCAGCATCCGACTGGATCGATGACAAATCTGCTACATACCTCGCGCTCGCGCTTTATCTCGAAGAACGGCATTAGTACTTGGGCTGTTCCAAGGTGTACTTCCTTTGGGTGCGGATCAGTTTTGATATGTGACGAATAGTAGATCCCGATTGGATCCTTGGACATCCGTCTCGCTTCAGAGAATCGGATGAGAAGTCCAAGATAGAGTGCATATAATAAAGTACGTCAAAAATTACGTAAGTAAGAGATGTCTCATTCTAAAATTTATGAATCGCATTAAAATTAATGAAATTTTCAATAAAATATAACAATTATTATTTTCAAATATGCATCTGTAGAATGTGTGTAAAAGAATCAATTATATGACGAACTATATTGAAAAATATATAAGCGTCTATTTACATAAACGTAAATACAAAAAAGGAAGGTAATATATGTAAACATAAGGACATTGAAATAGTATGTTTTGTTGACGTTACAAAAATGTAAAAAAACTTATTGAAAAAAGGGCGGAGGCTGTTTATTGTAGAGAAGGATACTAACTCATCAATAATTCAATTAATCTTTAGCAATAAATAAAATTCAGTAAAAAGTATTATTTTTAATTGAAAATGAGTTTTATATATATATATATATATATATATATATATATATATATATATCCATTTTTAAAAAGAAAACTGACATAAGTTTTTTATAACTTAAACATGTTGTATTAAAATAACAAACACGATTTATCTTTTTTAAATTAAAATAAGACTACATTAAAAAAGATTAAGATTGTTATTAATTAATTGTTATCAATTAATCGATTATTTAATATTGTTCGTTTACATGATACCTTTTTACTGAAATAAATTAATTTAATAATAATTATTATTTCAAAATAATATTATAATTAGTTATAAGCGTTAAATGTCAAATTCTTGAAAAGAAACATACGCGTTTAACAAATTTTAAAAATTATCGAAAAATTACTAATTCGTTGACTTACCTCGTGGATTTGTTTATTGCAGTAACTGCACAATGAAGAGATTGCACGTGAGGACTGTATTATCGCTCATCTTTATCATTTTACACAATGCTCCGCGTTTAGGACTCGTCATCGCCAAGACAATGAATTATAATAATCCAAGTTATTTCAAGATTGGCGGCGTCTTCTCCAGCAACGAGAGTAAAGCGCACTTCGGAAAAACAGTCGATGTAAGATTCAAATTATGATTGATGAGATATTCCTAGAAAAATAGTAAAATGTTAGTAAAAACATAATTGTCATACAAATATATGTTATAATAAATATATGACATGTATATTTTTTCAATCATATATATATTTAATTGGTATTAATAATATAAATAATATTTGAAATCAATTTACAGAAATGTGCAAAATAGTATAAGTCAATAATAGTTAAATAATAATAGTCAATAATAGTTAAAGATATACATGTTAATTTTATTATTAAATGTTAAATTTATTTTATTATTAAATGTTAAATTTATTTTTAAAGATTTTTTATATTATACAATATGCGACATTCGTATATTGTGTATTCAATACATTCAACATCTATTCATCTATAGATGTAGTGCACATGTGTTTTACGTATGTTTCAGCATCTCAATTTCGATTTCCAATATGTCAATAAAGGGGTCACATTTAAGCATACGGTAATCGAGATGGATTCCAACCCGATCAGAACTGCACTGAGCGTCTGCAAATCTCTGATAGCTGAACAGGTGTATGGGGTAGTGGTGTCACATCCGCTTATCGGTGACTTGTCACCGGCTGCGGTTTCCTATACCAGCGGCTTTTATCATATACCCGTGATCGGCATATCGTCTAGGGATTCTGCCTTCTCGGACAAAGTATACAGAATAAAATAAAAAAGACATGTATACAAAATAACATGAATGTTTAACACAATTGGATGAATACGGTGATACAAATTAATACTCCTGCGAAAGGGATGTGTGATTTATCAAAAAAATAAATTTAAAAAATTTTTAATTAGACTTTAAAAATTATTTTTTTTTAAATTAATTTAGTGACTTATCACGAAAATGGTCAATAAAATAAATAAAAAAAAAAATTAATATTTCAAACTAGATTTTTCTAATTGTATGCAAAACAATGTTTCCAAAAATTTAAGAATTTTAAGAATTATTAAACTTTCTCATCTCTTGCACACGTTATCCAGTTGTATTATTCAATAAGTGAAGTAATGTCTTTGCAGAATATCCACGTCTCATTTTTACGAACTGTACCGCCATATTCGCATCAAGCAGACGTCTGGGTGGAATTGCTGAAGTATTTCAACTACATGAAGATCATCTTCATCCACAGCTCCGACACGGACGGTCGTGCGCTTCTCGGACGTTTTCAGACAACATCGCAAAATTTGGAAGCTGACGTAGAAATCAAAGTGCACGTATGTTGCATCAGATGTATGTACAAGCAAGAATATATACTGTTGTACGCTACTGCATCACTGTTTCAGGTTGAATCAGTCATCGAGTTTGAACCAGGATTAAACAACTTCCTGGAGCAATTGATAGAAATGAAAGGCGCACAGTCGAGAGTTTGCCTCATGTATGCTTCGTAAGTATTTATTGTGATTCTCAGCATTTACTTTAGGAACTGTAATAGAATAGAAGAAGAAATGTTAGTTTATAATATAAAGTATAAATATAAAGTATAAATTATTTCATCTTTATTCTAATTATATAATACAATGATCTAACTGCATAGTATTAAATATTAATATTATACAAAGTTTATTCTCATATTTTAAATTCTAAGTTTTTAATTCGAGGTAATATTGATTTGTGAAGCAACCTAGGCTTTGAAATTGTGGAAATTTATTAATTTATTTAAATAAATTATTTAAATAAATCTGTAAATATATCTTTGGATGTGTGAAATATAGGAAAACGGACGCGAGAGTGATCTTCAGGGATGCTGCCGCCCTGAATATGACTGGTGCTGGATATGTGTGGATTGTTACCGAACAAGCTTTGGAGGCACCGAACGCACCAGAAGGCTTATTAGGATTGAAATTAATCAACGCTACACAAGAAAAATTACACATCACCGATAGTCTGTCAGTATCTCCGACATATCCATATTTCTATCGTGTTATATTTCAAATTCGTTAGTCTATTCAAAATCGATTTTTTTCAAAATTAATTCGGATATTAACAATTCTTGAAAATTAGCTGTGAAAGATAAAGAATATCTTTTACTAATTTTTAATCGAGAGCTGGTCTGATCATGAAATTTTGAATTGCTAATAAAGGATTTATTTCTTTTTTTTATTTATTATAGGCACGTGCTCGTATCTGCCTTACGAGAAATGAATGAAACGGAAAAGATCACCGAAGCGCCAAAAGATTGCAGCGATTCTGGTTCCATATGGGAAACTGGCAAGAGTCTTTTTCAGTACGATTTCTTTTTTTTATACTTAATTTTCTGATAAATATGACTATAAATAAAGTCCTAATGAATCTTAATGAATAATCCATCATTGCGATTATTTTTGTATTATTGTTTATATATATTTTTGTATTTCTTTCTCAATTAGGTACATTCGTAAGCAGGTACGACCACAGGGCGCAACGGGTCAAGTGGCATTCGATGATAATGGTGATCGCATATACGCCGAGTACGATATAGTTAATATCCAGTATGCAAGTCCAAACAATAAGACGCAAGTGTCTGTCGGCCAGTATTTTTGTCCCACTGTGAGTAAATAATTCCAGTAGCGATTTTCACAATTTTATAATTTTGCCTTACCTAATAAAAGACATTTGAATTAATTAATATATAATTTGAATTAATAAGATATTAATGAAAGACGGCTACAAACACGTTATTACACGTTATTAAATCTTGTAAACAAAGAAGATTATATTTCTATATCAAATAATGAAATTACAAATATAACATTTGTTATTACTTTCACAAATTGGTAATAGAACAGTACCAGAATGAAATTGCGAGTGAACGAGTCCAACATTATATGGCCAGGTCGTGTAAAGAACAAACCTGAGGGTTTTATGATACCTACGCATCTTAAGGTGCTGACAATCGAAGAGAAGCCATTCGTTTACGTTCGCGAATTGGTTGACGGAGAAATCAAGTGCATGCCCGATGAGATTGCGTGTCCTCATTTCAACACGACGGATGGCGAAAGTACGTTGCTGCTCTCTAATTAACAAAATAACAAGTTTTCGTAACAAATCTTGCTCCAACTTCTAAGATTTTAAAGTAAAAAGAGGAACGTCAAGATAGTAGGATAGTTAGGTTTCTAAAATTTAATATTTTTTATAAAATGTAATAATTTATCTTTTTCATTTACAGACACGCGGATATTTTGTTGTAAGGGATATTGTATGGATTTATTGAAAGAATTGTCGAAAACGATCAATTTTACATACAGCTTGGCCCTATCGCCTGATGGACAATTTGGCAGTTACATGATTAAAAATAGTTCAAGTAAGTAACTAAATTAGAATTGTGATACATATACATAAGAAAAATATTTAAAGAAAGAAAACATTATAAAAGAATCTAAAAAATAATTTTATCGTTTAGTTTGTGAAAATTCTTATTTTTAAACGTCGAAAGATTAATAATTTGAATTATTTTTTTTATTTTCTATCTCTTTCATGTTTTGTCGATATATGAAAGTCGGAGGAAAGAAAGAATGGACCGGTCTAATTGGTGAGATTGTAAACGAACAAGCCGACATGATCGTTGCGCCATTGACAATCAATCCTGAACGTGCCGAATTTATCGAATTCAGCAAACCTTTTAAATATCAGGGTATCACTATCCTTGAGAAGAAGGTACATATATCTAAAATTAATTTTGCAATAATTATTATTACATATTAATATTAATATTAATATTACATCTTATATCATAGAAGAAACAGTCCAAAAAAGCAAGTATTTTATTTCAAAATTAAAAATAAAAGCGTTTTATACAATTATTTTTTTAATAATAATATGTATAAATGTATATTTTATAGAAAATTTTGTAATATAAGAATCATAATATACTTTTAATTGAATATTCTTTCATCTGTAGCATTCTAGCATAACATTTCAAAATTAATTAAAATTTTTCATCCTGTAGTTTCATCCTTTTTTTAACTAAATAATTTCATATATAAATCATTTTATATAATAAATATTAATGTATTAAACGATTTTTATTTATTCAGCCATCGAGATCGTCTACTCTGGTATCCTTTTTACAACCGTTCAGCAACACTCTTTGGATTCTGGTGATGGTATCGGTACATGTAGTGGCACTAGTCCTGTATTTACTCGATCGATTTTCACCCTTTGGTAGATTCAAATTGGCCAACACTGATGGCACCGAGGAAGATGCGCTCAATCTATCCAGTGCTATTTGGTTCGCTTGGGGTGTATTATTAAACAGCGGTATAGGAGAAGGTAATACATTCTTTTAAAGATAGTACATTCTTTTTTTTTGGTTCATTTAATTGGATATCACTTGGAGAGAAGAAAAAAATAGAGCTCAGAAAAATCGATTTCAAATTCAAAGTTTGAATCAAAGAATATCTTAAAAATTGATTCTTGTTTATATTACATATCTCAATCGATTAAATCTACAGGTACTCCACGAAGTTTTTCTGCGCGCGTATTAGGAATGGTATGGGCCGGATTCGCTATGATCATCGTCGCATCGTACACCGCTAATTTGGCCGCGTTCCTCGTCTTGGAACGACCCAAGACCAAGCTCACCGGCATCAACGACGCTCGAGTGAGAATAACTAATTGTTTTCTGAAAATAAACACACTGGATATGAAACAAACGTATTAGTGAATAATTTGATATACCTGTGACATTTGTGTTTGTAAAGCTGAGAAATACGATGGAGAACTTGACGTGCGCGACAGTGAAGGGATCTGCCGTGGATATGTATTTCAGACGCCAGGTAGAATTGTCCAACATGTATCGTACGATGGAGGCGAATAATTATGATACCGCGGAAGAAGCGATTCGAGATATTAAAATCGGGTGAGTATCGATTTTTGGATCGTTGGTTTCCTCTGTAACACTTAGATTTTATGTTGAAATTCTTAAAGTATTATGTATATCCTAAAAATATGTACATTGTTAAATCTTATTTTGATTTAATTTCATATATTATAAAGTAATTAATTAAATAAATTATCCGCATAATTTATAATTAATAACATGTTATTTGATATATTTCTTGTATATTTTTTTATTAAATAATCACATTATCACTTTTTCAGAAAATTAATGGCCTTTATATGGGATAGCTCCCGATTGGAATTTGAAGCAGCTCAAGATTGCGAATTGGTGACGGCTGGCGAACTATTTGGCCGCTCGGGTTACGGGATCGGTTTGCAAAAAGGATCACCTTGGGCGGATGCTGTGACATTGGCGATTTTAGATTTTCACGAAAGTAAGCTCGCATCAATTCAACACTATCCGCTTTGTTCTCATTTTTTAATTTATTTTCTATGTGATAAAATTTATTTTTGCTTTAATAATTACAATCTTTATAATTTATGGTATTAATTTATAATAACGTAATATTAAAAATATTTCACGACAGAAACTGCACACTGACAATGAGTTTAATTTAGTATATTAAGTATCTAACGTTAATGCGTCTAACAATGTTTTTTTTTAGGTGGTTTCATGGAGAGTCTCGATAATCTCTGGATCTTACACGGAAACGTACAACAATGCGAACAGTTTGAGAAAACACCGAACACCCTCGGTTTGGAAAACATGGCGGGGGTATTTATTGTCGTCGGCGTTGGTATTGGTGGTGGAGTTGGCCTAATCATAATTGAGATGGTATACAAGAAACATCAATTACGTAAACAGAGAAAGATGGAACTAGCTAGACATGCTGCCGACAAATGGCGAGGGATGATCGAGGTAATATAATCAATTCAATTGACATAATCAATTTGATGAAATTATATCGAAATTTTTTTTATAATCGAAATAAACATTAACATTAATAAATCAATTAACATTAATAATAAATTTACATTAAAATCAATTTACATTAATTTATGACTTAATGTATGACTTGTGGTAAATATAATATTTGTTTAAAGTTGCATTTGGAAACATTGCTTTCATGTTTCTTATAAATTATAGACTTGGCACATTTTTAATTAGTAAATTACTGGATTTTGTCATAAGTAGAAACGGAAAACTCTGCGAGCGTCAATCCAGAGCTGTCAACGAAGGATTCAAAGCAATGGTTTGAACGATCCCGCGACAGTGAGCTTGGCGGTCGATACGGTTGCTAGGTCAAACGTAGGTTCACGCAGTCCGGGTCGCGCCTGGCCAGGTGACAGTGACCTGAGACAACGACCGATCTCTCGCTCTGACGATATTCGATTGTCGCCAGCCGCCTATACCGCCGACGTGTCGCACCTCATAGTTTAATATCTCACATTAATGTGTAGTTTTTTACTGAATAAGAAATATTGCGTCTTCTAGTAGATTATTACAATAAAATTTTTCCTCACTAGCAAAATATGATCGCAAAAATATATTTAAAACGGCGGATGTATTTAAGATGATTAATCATCCGCTCGTTAGATGTTTATAGGAGATTGTGATGAAATATATTTATTGGATCATAGTATACATAAAATATTAGTTTATATAAATTGCTGATTTTGTATAAATGATTTTCAGATAATTTTTAAGAACATAAGATATATATATAATTAAAGAAAATTTAGTAATATTTTCTCACATTTATGTTAACATTTTATTTATTGTTAAAATATGAGGAAAATATTACAACCAAGATTAAAAACCAGCCATTAAATTTTATTTGCTATAATAAAGAAATATTTTGCGTTTTTATATATATATTTATATAGTGATTAAAGTAAATTGCATCACTGCGTAATATTGGCAATTGTAAAAATATGTTGAAATATAATTGGTTTTTGTTTTACATAAGATTTTCTTTATACCTAATTCCATTATAATTATCTAGTATTAGTATTAATTAAAATATTTTATATCTAATATTAGTATTAATTAAAATATTTCACATCAATGCAATACGTATATATGTGTATATATATTGATATGTAAATAAAAAAAATATATAATTGCGTTAATATGAAATAGGTTAATTAGTCGAAATTTATCTAATAAATAAATGAGAACTAATAATTTAAATAATTTTCGGAAAATTCAGCTAATCAATGGTGCTAACGATATCCTGCTGTAGGCGACGGAAATGAAGGCGTAGACGAAGGATATCCCGAAGTAACTGAAGATCCTGATGTGGAAGCAGGATAATCTGCAGATGGATTTTTAATTGGTGTAACTGGAATAGATATAACAGGTACGGATTGACTTTGCTGCACAAACGCATCACTGGACGCACTAGCTGAACTCGAGGCAGTTGCAAAACTCGAGCCACCGGCTGGCTCGCTCAACTTCACCACGCCGATTGCCGGAAAAGTGGGAAAACCACTTGAGAGACTTGAAATATGACCCAATTGACTAGCAGGGAATAAAGAGGCGCCTACATTTGACGCACCCGACAATCCAACAGCAGCTCCTTGATTGTATGGCGGTAAATACGTGGGTCCAGGTGTTGATACTGAAGGTGGTAAATATGTAGCAGGTGGGCGTGTAGGTCTAGGTGGGGGTAGATATGTCCGGCGTGTAGGAGGCGGCGGAGGTGGCGGAGGTGGTGGCGGAGGCGGAGGTGGTGGCGGCGGTGGCGGTGGCGGAGGCGGAGGCGGTGGCGGAGGCGGTGGCGGTGGTGGTGGCGGTGGCGGGGGTGGAGGTGGCGGTGGACTAGGATAAGAATAAGTAGGTGGAGGTGGTGGCGGCGGCGGAGGAGGTGGCGGAGGCGGCGGAGGTGGGGGCGGGGGCGGTGGAGGAGGCGGTGGCGGCGGAGGCCGAGGTGGTATATATGCTGGTGGTGGCGGCGGTGGCGGAGGCGGAGGCGGTGGCGGAGGCGGTGGAGGTGGTGGTGGCGGTGGCGGGGGTGGAGGTGGCGGTGGACTAGGATAAGAATAAGTAGGTGGAGGTGGTGGCGGCGGCGGTGGCGGGGGTGGAGGTGGCGGTGGACTAGGATAAGAATAAGTAGGTGGAGGTGGTGGCGGCGGCGGAGGAGGCGGCGGCGGAGGTGGAGGCGGGGGCGGTGGAGGAGGCGGTGGCGGCCGAGGCGGTATATATGCTGGTGGTGGCGGCGGCGGCGGTGGCGGAGGCGGTGGCGGTGGCGGAGGTGGAGGTGGTGGTGGAGGTGGTGGCGGCGGTGGAGGCGGGGGCGGGGCCGGAGGTGGTATATACGCTGGTGGAGGTGGCGGTGGTGGAGGAGGAGGTGGCGGCGGTAGCGGAGGAGGAGGAGGTGGTGGTGGAGGAGGTGGAGGTGGTGGTGGTGGAGGAGGTGGAGGTGGTGGTGGTGGTGGTGGTGGTGGTGGAGGTGGTGGTGGAGGTGGATAAGAATAACTAGGTTGAGATACTATTTGAGATTGTTGATTGCCTGTTGGTAATGAAAATGGCACGCTGGGTCGTTGATAAGAATACCCTGCTTGACGAACGACACGCGGCCAACGTGCATCGATGCAATTGATCACCAACAGAATAAATATTACCTAAAAATTATAATAATACATTGTAATATCAGAATGGAAAATTGCGATGAAATAGCAATGTTAAAACTTACCCATCTTGATGGCAGCATAAGCATTTCGCATGTGCTAGCGATGCAATAAAACAGTCGCTTTTATACAAACGTTTTGGATTGTCTGATTTATTATGCGCCCTACCCGAAGACATTTAATTCGTTTAATAGTATTCCACTAACCCAAGTGCTAGTTACAGCTTATTAAACTTTGTATTATACTTACCGCGAAATTGTGGGTTTTAAATAGTACGATGTCAAATTTCTTTTTCTTCTTACAAGACACATCTTTCCCGATTTAAATATGTTGAAATAAAGTTGCTATTTAATTAAGAAGATTATAATAATGGAATGCGGAAATAATATTTTTTCGTTCTTCCAGATGTACTTATTTTTGTATACAAATGTAGAATGTATAGAGTAGAATGTATAGAATAAAACTCTCCCTTTCTCTATGAAAATAAGTGTACAATTCGTGACAAATTCGTGTATGAATTTAGAAATATATATATATATATATATATATATATATATATATATATATATATAGTACTACATAAATAGTACCACACATTATTATACAAATGCCATATGTTAAAATAATACTGATTATAAAATATTCTTTGCGTTTCTTAATATTTTTCCCTTTAAATATCATTATTTAAAAAAAAAGAACATTACGATGTATGATTAATATTATTTATTGCAAGAATATATTTTATTTAAGATGAGAAAATAAATAATAAGTTATTATACACTGATTATATAATGAGGGGAAAAGACTGTTTCGAAAATAAAATTATCCCGGCAATAAAAGCAGCAGAATTATTGCAGTATTGTAATAAGATGCGCACATTGCGCATATCATTTGTAATTATTCTTTGCAATTATTTTTTGTGAGTATATATTTAAAAGTCTCTCTTAGTACTTTGCACATTATATACGAATGATAGATATGATGAAAGATCTTTCAACGATTGTTTAGGAAAACTAATTTTTGTTATTAAAAAAGAAAGAATATTCATAACAAAATTGCAATTCAAATATTTTGCAATGGTATTCATGTTATTTAGTTATTTAATTATTTAATTAATTAAATATTAAATAAAATTGTTATTTAATTAAAATAACTATTTTTTAGATTAAAATAACTAAAATATAATTTTGTAAAAAAAAAATTTTATGGTAATAAAACGAATAACTGTTTTTTTAAAATATGGCATTACTTTTTTGTAATAAATAATTTTCGACAACAGGCATTTGGTATTTTTCGACACGTGCATTTGGTATTTTTCTTACATTTTTTTAAAACAATAAATATTACATTAACAATAAATATTTTATGATTATTTGAAATAACAAGAAGGATAGAAATATATTTACATTTGTCATTTTGTTTATGAACAAATAAAATAGAGTGGAAATAAATAAATAGGTTGGGAATAAATACTTCATTATATCATTTTTTGTTTTATTTGTTACAGATTTCACACGGCAGGTGGCTAACATATGAACCAGCTGTTTTTATAAGCTTAAAATCGAAGTCATATAATAAAGACATTAAAAATTGATTCATCTCTCCATAATTAATGGATCATTAATTACTGACTGTTGAATATCATTTCATGCGCGCGATTTATTTTCATTTTCAAGCTCTGCAATTTTTACTTAAATATTAAACTTTTAATTAGTTAATTTACTTTGAATTTGTAGTAGGTTAATTTATTTTGCTTGTATTTTATTTGTCATCTTTCTGTTTTTTATAACATTTAAAGTGTTATATAACCCTTTTTTCATCATTATTAATATTATTATTTTTCGTTTAAAATTATTATAGATGAATCGATGATTTAAGAAAGTAAACATTGTCTTAATTGTTTTTCCTGTTTATTTCTAATTTTATTTTTTTTATAAAATTAAAATACGCATATAACATGCGTACGTATTAATTTATACGTGTTTCAGATATATTTGTTGTATTTTGTTGTCCAATATTATAGACATTGTTTTATAATAATTATATCAAATTTGCCCCTTTTAAAAGCTATCCAAATTAAAGACTTCATATTGAATTTGTTTCAAAACTTGTTCAAATTACAGATTTCATCTGATAAATTCTATTGTTAAAGTATTTCATCAAATATTACTTTTGAAAATAAATCATTCAAAGCCAAACCCACAGAGGAGTAACGCTATCAAAATTGAAGATATCGGGCTGGCCGACATGCGAGACGTTGGGAAAAGTCTTCGACCATTGGAACGGCTGCTTGGAGCCTAATGTGCTCGGTCCAGAAATGGCTTCAAAAGTCTCTATACCATTGATGTCGGCCAGCACAATCTTCGCATCAATCACACCAAATGGTAGAGCTACTTTCTCTAGATCTCCTCTGTAAGTCAAAATTTGCGCTTGTTCCTCGTTTTTGATGATAGATGTCTCGTGATTGTATCCTCGCATTAATCTCATAAATTGTTCCATTGTAGTGACGTTAGCTTGCAATTTCGCGAGCAGGTCGTTTTTTACCGTATCATAAGAATTTCTATTAGTTTCATTGTTTTTGTACAAACGAATTTCTTCGGTAATCCAAAAGCTGCCAGCAAATTGTTTGTTGATTTGCGTCTTACGAGTGATTCCCGGCTTGATAAGCAAAATCGTACCAAAACGCGGTTCTAAAATGACCCATTGTCGTTCTATACTGACATTATTTTGCTTCGATATGCTATCAAACCAGTGTTGCCCGTTAGTCTTCAAACGATTCGCCGTCATTACTCTCACGGATGACATCACCTATTGAATTAGAAAATCAATACAATCTTCTGACTTTTAACATATTCCGCTTAAAGAAGTCAACAGAAAAAACAAATCATTTTTTTATATAAATTCATCATAAATTATTGTCTTGTGTATAAATATCTTTCGACATTTTTGGAATAAACTGTAAAAAAACTATAAGAATCAAAGCCAAGTTTTATCTACCTGATCTTTTGCATTTGTAAAATTCCACAAACTGCGGTTAGCGTTTACCCACGGAATTCCGGCAACAATCAATTCATGATTCTGACCTTGAATTACATAAAACTCGTCATGGGACGATAGAGCACCAGGATAAGATGACATTATAACGGATCTGCCTGGTACCGGGAGAAGTACCTGGTCGGAAGTTTTTGGCAATAGGTGATAACCAAAAGTGTACTTCTTTAGCAGTCTCAGCATTTTAGCATATCTGTAAAAAAAACATGAAATGGCTTGCGATATGTCCGATAACCGAACAATATTTTTATTTAATCTTTATACGATAACATACTTACACTCGAGTATCCTCGTAGCGAACAAAAGTTGTAGATTAAAAATTATTATTAAATTCTAGCATAAATCTCTAAAAGTAATCTCTATGACATTTATGATACAAGACATTTTCATTATATTCTATTTAAATGCAGACGTTAATTATTTACGTAACATTTCTAAGATGCTTCTTTTATATATCTTCGAAATAGTTTATTTTATAGGATAATATTTCTAAAAATGATTTATTTCTTTGTATATATCATGAATAAGGATTACTTACGGTGCAATAGTGCTATGTCCAATAGCTATCAACGGCTCCATTCCTTCGCGAGGTAGACTTTTAAGGAAAATCATGCCTTTAATGCAGTTACTTTGAGAATTAAAATTCTTCACCATTTGCTCGAGATCCGGTAGATCTGCAGCTATTGCCAGCCAGAGGAAATGATCCGTGTTTATTTCTACTGTTTGCCGACTACGACGAACCGCGTATTTCCAGCCAGCCTCTAAGCCGTCCAATTGAATATAAAATAATCGTACCTGTAATTGGAAGACACATAAATTCTTTCGAATTTTTAAAAATTTGAAATATTTTATTTCGCGATGTTATATAGTCAAGAATATTCGCTTTAATTAATTTTATATTAACTGACTTTTTTATTTAAAAAAACAAAATAAAAATATATAAATATATAATTTCTCAAAAGCTTCAATATGAAGAAAAATTAATCTACTAATCATGTTTGACATCGTAGAAAATACTTGTAATATATAAAAAAATTTTCAAATATTATCTCTTTTAACTTACCATGTGCCAAAATGGATCTGTGGCTGCCAAGTGTTCGGCACGTTTGCGAACAATGGCAGTATTTTCGCGAAAGAAATTCATCAATTCCCAACATTCCGCAGCCCATTTCTCGCAAACGGTGTTGACAGTATTGTACCAATGATGATAGATCAATTGCCATGTTAGACTACCCTCTAATAAACCAGCCGCGTAAGCTTGCACGTCATCCGGATATTTGGATGATGTTTCTATTTCGATGATGGACCATCTGGAATATATCGCGATTCGCCATGTTTAGTTTACTTCATATTAAACGCGATATCTGTAGAATATTCTTATTTGACATATGCGAACATATGAGTCCTACGAATTTTCCGAGATATTTACGCATTAAAAGATATTTTTTTACAAGATTAATTATATGCAGAGTTATAAATAGCATTATAAAATTATTATGACGGAAGTGAAACTTTTGCTTCTCAATCATTAGAATCTATTCATTCATTTTAATCGCGTAAAATTAGAATTTATTAGGATTGCGATATATATTTTACAAATATCAATTTAATGAAATCAATACAAATTATTGTTTCTCTTCAAGTAAATTCAGAATAATTTATTAATTGTAAATATAAAGAGTTCGATTTTGCGCTAAATTTCAATATATATAATAAGTTCAATATATTTTTTCAATGTGATCGAAATTTTATATTGAAAATCAAAAATATATAAGATTATTTAAACTTTATCTCTCATCACTTCATCTAATTTTCATAGAAATAAATTACGAAGTAACATTTGCGACTTTATAAAGACGTGTTTATCGATAGCCTCTTTAGAGTTCCATGTACTTTAACGACGCTGGAAATATCTTCAAAAGAGAACTTTAAGTTTTTTCTATTTAATAACATTGACCTACCCAGATTCAAAGATGCTGGTCTTATAATACGCACGGGCGACATTCAGTTTCACATTGGCGAGGTCGTTGCCTTGACCCCAAAATTCGATATGACATCCTCCCTTGTGATTCCATGATACGGTAGCCGAGTAGATTCCATCTTTTTCAACACTAATAAAATAAATTTATATATATTAATATTTTATTAAAATTTTGGCCAAAATTTTGTTTATTCTTTTCATATATTCAACAATTATTTGTTATTCAGATTTGTTGACCATTAAATCAGTGTTTACTTACTGTAAAAAGTCAAATTCGCCAAGGATGATCGCGCCGATGCCGATGAGAGCAACGGCCACGAGGATGTAGGTGGAGATGCGAGTCTGCAACCACGAGGCTCCAACCACCTTCAGCATGGCTCATAGGTAAGCTACACACCCTGATAACGAAAAGAGAATGGCACAAAGAACGTTATCAACCCATCGATTACCGACGCCTGATCTGCCGCAGGTTTTCAATGGTGCTTCTTCTCAAGGATCGCCTACAGCTTCTTTTCCGGCGACTGTAACAATATATATTGGAAATTTATGGACATTCTATTTTCTTGAAATTACTTTTTATTGTAGCAGTAGTGTATTGATAAACAGTTTTACAACACAATTTGTCAACCACGTGCCGTTTCTTATCTACAAAAGAAATGTTCAAAAATGGAATACTTAAATATTTTTCTTCTGTTCGTTAAATTTCCATTTCCGATATCCCACAATCTCGCACATTGTTGTATCCTATTTTGTTGACTTAACAATCAGCTAACTTAGCTTTGTCATGACAGAAAGAAAAATGGTTTGAGATATAATAAAAATTTTTGTATTACTTTATTTATTTAAAAAATAATGACAAAAGTCAAGATTTTTCTATAGAAAATAAATAAAATTTTCTCCCCTTCCTTCATAGACTTTCAAAAATAATAATAACATAAATGTTTCGCAAAATTTATATAAAAATTTTATATAAATGAAATTTAATATGATTCAATATTTGAATTTTTGTCTTGCAAATATAAATAGAAAAAAAAGGTTCGATAAAATAAATACAAATCATTTATTAGAAGATTGAAAATTGTTATCGAAGTCACTTGCAAATCGAAAATGAAGGCTAAGATTTTCGTCTGCTCGTTATCACTTGTGATTAGACTTTTCTGGAGAATATCATCATGCATTTACTAATTTTATCAACTTTACACACATATATTACGTAATTGTTTATCTTTATTGAAGGTTAAGCTTCCGAGATTCCTAATGAAATATGATATATATATATATATATATATATATATATATATATATATATATATATACAAACGGTATAAATATTTTCTTTTATATAAGAATTGCATGCGATTTTTTTCTACCAATTAAGCGAGTTTAACACGAAGTGTAAAATATAAATGTTCATAAAGATTAAATTATTTTTTGTTTCTTTAATTATACGAATTTTTCAGAAATTAATGAATTATAAAAAATTTAATTATACATATGAATTTAATTTGTTTTTCAATCTATTTGTCAAATTGAAAAAAAATGTGTAAAACTTGAAAGAATTTCAGACAAATATTCGAAAATGAGAATATTCGGAATGAGATATAAAAATAGTATTTGTGCACACATATTTTGTCGCCAATGAGATAACATATTTTCTCTCTAAGTGTCATAATTCGCGACTTGCGAAAGACTTTGCAAATAATAGTTGGGGCGCGCCATTTGTGACGCTTATCGTTTTCTTATGACAGATTTTAATGGCTTTGACAAAGATCGACAGATATTCATAAAATGGTACATAAAAATCAATGGTTTTATCTCTCTCTGCAAGTAACATTACATATATCACACGGTAAATTTCACATTGTACATTTTTAAGCAACTGAATAGTTATTACAAATGGCAGCGACACACGACATGTGTATGTTGTGTCAATTAACTTATCACGAAGTATAAATAAGAGAGTCAATATTTAATCATTGGCTTTGCGATTTGATTCGCAGCCATGAGGAAAATTTTCTGCAATGTGTTATATTTGGAAAATGTTGTTATATATTATTTGGAAAATTATAACAGAAAAGTGATTTATGTTTTCGCGGAAAAAATGGTCTTAAGTTCAGGAAGTTTCGTGACTTATTTTTGATATGAGATTCGTTAAAAAAGTATATTTTGTTTATTGTTGTAGCTTATTCAATAATTGAATTCTTCCGCCATAGTGCAGAAAATCATTTTCTTATATATAAATTTTTTTATTATTGATATGTATTTATCACTATCTTTAATTATTATATATATTTATTATGTATATTTAATATTTATTAATATTTATTAATATATTTATTAATATTTATTATATATATTTAATCTTTATTATATTACTTATTTGTTAATTGTCATATTATATTACTTATTTGTTAATTGTCATATTATATTTTATATTACATAATTCAAAGGTTATTGATTATTTTAGTTGCTAACTAATCAAAACTAATAATATTACGACATGTTCATTATTAGCATTGAAATAAATAATTAAAAGTAGATATAAGAACAAGATTGTATTTGTCCTATTCAAAGTTAACACTTGTAAAAGACTTATAAATAGTTTTATATTATTTGAAGTTATCTCTTGAACTTTTTTCTCATTTTTTATATTAAAAAGAGACAAATATCACTCTATTCTTTTCTTCGTTCTATTGCTTTTTTAATATTTAAAACAAAAGAGAATAACGATCCGTAAGATAACAATCAAATTTAAAAAAGAAAACGCTAAGAATCGAAAATCTTTTCTTTTTTATCAAATTTTTAATATTTTTTTAATATCATTCAATCATTGGAATTCTTCCAGTTTCGTTGCCAACGACGGAAAATTCGCGATTATGACCATGAATCATCAAAGACCTTTATTTCAACATGAAGCAAATATGTACGTGCTATATGCATAAAAAAAGATTACGTGAAGAATACTGATATATTATGCATTACTGCACTAATGTGCATTATGCATTTTAATATCTTTGACGGAAATACTAAAGTATACGCAATATCCCGGAAAAAAACAGCAAAACATTATAAACAAAACTTGTAGTTATCGCATTAAGAAATAAATATGCTGAGGATCGAAAGAATATTTTTTCAATTTATGTAAAATTTTCATTTGCATATCTGTAGAATGGATTTCATTAATTTTCGAAATCAAGCACAATCAGACGTACATTTTTCATCGGGAAACTATTGAAAGCGGCAGAAATAATAAAAAAATTTTACCGTTATTAAATAGTTATCTATCAAAACTGGTTTGAGGATTTAAATTCCCTCTCTCTCTCTTGTATAAAATCAGATTAATAATATATCTTATTTCGATCTTTGATTTTGTAAGGATCACTTTCGTGCGTCTATTGCACGGGAATCGGACCCTTAGGCCGGTCTAGTCTTTTCCAGATGATCGTGCACGTGGCTTTCTCATGATTGAATTATTCACTCACCCTGGATGAAATTTGGCAGTTTGTAAATTGCAGCGCGTCGTATACAGGTAATGAATGGGTCATCGGACACAGATTACATTCCTCATACATATATGTATATGTTCCTGGACTGGTTGCTCCGATACTCCAATCCAAGCGTGAACGTTGGTCTATACCGACTGACTCGCCGCCAGCTGGTCGTCAGCATTTTCGTGCCGTTCCCTTTCCTCTTTACCCCTGCCATCATCATCATTTACAATCCCCACTACGACCATGATCGTCGCGCCGCGTCATTGTCCCGGCTTCGAAGCCCAAGCGACGAAGTTGAAGTATAGGGAATTGCAAGAAAGATATCAGAATATACTTAGAGGAGTCACATGAGAAGTCTTGGAGAACTCTAGTTAACACATTGTAAAGTTTTATATTTATATTGTAGAATCAGCGATTAGAACAATTCATATAAATTAGCATATTTCATATAAATTTTACTCTTTAAATTCTTTTTAAATCAAATGATAATTAAAACAAAGCATTATAATACTTGGATTGGATTGCAATATAGTCCAACTTCAGTATTATATAATCTCTAAACGTTTTCATACAAAAAATAGAATTTTTTCCACTAAAAATTTAAAGACACATATGCAACATAGTTATTAAATTCTTTTGCAAAGGTTAATTTCCAATTAATTGCAAATTTTGCAATAGATTATTTGCAAATAAGGAATCATTATGTTCGTGCATTATGCAAGTTTTGACAATTGATCATTTGTGATACTTTAGTCAATTTCGAGATTTTAATCAATTCTAGAGTAATTGCAAATTCTCAAAGAATATGGAAAAAGAAAGTAGTAAAAAATAGTATAATAATATACTACACAGTAAAAAATTTTGTGTTAAATTTAACATATTTCACATGTCCCAATTTATCCACTCTAATTTTAATGTTAATTTAACAGAAGGCAAGTATGTAATTAAATAACACAAGTAATATGTTTAAAAATTAACACAAAAGTGTAATACTTAAACTTTATCTGGAAATAAAGTTTAAGTTAAATTAACATACTTATAATGTTAAATTTAATTAAAAGAAAATGTTATTCTTACATATTTATGATAAATAACAGAAGAGATATGTCGATTTAACATATGGAAACTGTTATAGAGAGAAAAATAACACAACTTATCTGTTCATTTTAACATATAAGATATTTTATCAAAAATTCGTGCATTTACATATTAATTATGTTGTTTTAACTCTTAGAAACGGTGAATATTAATTCAACGCAGAAATGTCAAAATAACGCAATGGTAATATGTTACATTAACATAAGAGTATGTTAAAAATTTAACACAAAAGTTTTTACACGAGAAAATTTTAACAGAAATACAAAATGTTTTTTACCGTGTACTATAATACTATAATACTATAATATACTATAATATACTATACACTATACACATATATACTATACATACATATTACATATTATCGTTGCATATAATAAGTTTCTCAATTAGTTTTTATCTTCCTCAAAAAAAAAAAAAATTATTTGTGCAAAATTTTCTAAGAAATATTTTTTAAGTTTTACGTTTTTTAAATTATTATCATATTTAAAATGCAGTAACCTCATATTTAATACAATTATATATATATCATTCTACATATATATGCATTTAATATGATAATAATTTAAAAAATGTAAAATTAATAACTACAGTGACAACAAACATCTATTAAGTTATAAAATATAACTAATATAATTGAGTCAAAATATCTATCGAGATGAATCAATACCTATATAAGGTAAAAGTTGAATTGAATTAGTAACAGATACACACAAATAAACACATTCTTGAATAATTTGATTGTTTTATTTTTAATAATAAAAGAAGAGAGAAAGAGAGAGAGACAAAAATCAAATTTCATATATTTTGATATAAAAAATATTTTTGTAAAGCATTTATCTTCATATGATTTTATTTTAATATTTTTATACAAAAAAGATTATATACGTATTGATGACTTCATAGATTTTGTATAAAGACTCTTTTTAACTTATCTTATCATTATCATATTTAATATACACAGTGTATATATGTGTATGTATGTGTATGTGAAAGTTGAAATTCAAAAAACTTTGCATCTGTCTCTGATTTCAGAAATTAGATCCTTTCGGTCTGGTTGTGTATTTATTTTTTACAGTGTGATGATAACTTATTTATGGCGAGCGACACAACTTTATGGACCATAGTTAATTGATTCCAATTTAAAGGTTTAATCGGTGCGCGAGGACAGCCACAGGCGTCTTGTCTATCTTGTTGAAGTTATTATCAACGATATACACAAACTGTTAGAAATGTAGATCTCGCCAATAATGCTAATTGTCATAATTAATATATTTCTTAATTATTAAGTAATCACTCATTTCTCGAGTGCAGAGCATTATAATTTGAATAGTTGTAAACGTTATCTTCTATTAGAAACTGTAGCATTTTCTAAAAAAAATCATATCTTGACAATATTTAACATACAATTATCAAAGGAAACTTTATTGCTTGCTCATGAAATACTTTTGTAAAATGAAACGTTTGAAAAAAAAACCTCTCGAAGTGGAATATTTCGTACTCAACGATGACACTTTGTTTAATACGTAAAAATTCGCACGTTTTGCTGATCTATTACTTATGCTATTATGCAAATAAGTGCATATTTAGTTAGAACGAAAAATATTTTCGCATGTCTCGCAAACGGCATTCTTGCAATTCATCTCTCTGCACGAGAATTGTTTCCCGCGTTAATAATACGCAGTAAGGAGTTCGACCGCAATAAGCGTTCTGTGGAATTTCCTGATTGTAGTCCGGTCGCGAAGCACGCGCCACAAATGGAATGCAATATATTCCTCAGAAAAATATTCGATTATTAAGACGTCCTCCTTTCCTCCCTATGGATAGAGAACACCCTGAAATACCTTAATTTTAATTTCAATCGCGATTATTCCGATCGATTCGGAGTCGATATTTCTTTCATATCCGAAAATTTTAAAAACAAAGAAAAGAAAGTTTGTAGAATGAGAATTAATATGTATATATAGCAAACTTAAATGACAAAAAATAATAAATATTTATCATAAATAAATAATCAGGGTATTTATCATAAATCAGGATATTTGCAGTTTTCTTAGTTATATACATTGAAGATTAGAGGACATTTTTATAAAATTTTCCATAGATTCCAAGATCTCTATCGAAAATTTTAAAATATCTGATATATTTTAAAACATTTCATACTTTATAAATTGGCAATCTGCCTGTATTTAATTCCTCCTTCTTCATCAGCAAACTTATCGGTTATCGGAAATTGTTTATCTCCTTTTAATTAATTTCGAATAAGATTATATTCTGTTTAATACGAATTTTTTGTCGATAAATTTGTATGACGAAAAAACAGAAATATAGTGGATTATATTAAATTATATATAATATGGAATAATTATATATATATATATATATATATATATATATATATATATATATATTATAGAATATGTTAAAAAATTGATTTTAAATTACTGTAATTGACTTAAAATATCAAAAATTTTATTCTATTCTATCTTTTAATTATTTAATTATACTGTGTGGTATTTCATAACATTATAACATGACACGAACTTATTTCTACGCAACTTTTATCACGTAAAGAACAAGATTAAAATTAAATTTAAATTAAACTATATTATTATTGAAACTATACTATTATTTTCCGAACAATTTATACAAGAAAAACCCCTCAAGGATTTTTCTAAATTAGTGGAAGAGGGTGTGTGATTTGAATCTCCAGGAGCATGCGCATTTCGCATCAACTCGCAAGCGCGGATTCCCTTCCAGAGTACGAAAGTTCTCGCAATTCAAGGATCATCAGTATAGATTCATCCTTCGCAGGCTCTTCGTGATAAAATAACTTATAAAATCAACAACTTGTCAAAAATATCTTGAGCAAAAGTGAGCGACGTTTGAGAAACCGAGATAAATTCTATTTCGACTCTAAGAGATCCAGATTGAGTTAATTCAAAATCTAAATTGAAGACGAATCGCTCAGCGAATTTACTCGAGAGTTTTGATGAGGATCTAATCATACCGACGATGATGTTGATTTTGCTATTACTGGTCGCTCTTGTGGGTGTCCACTCGAGTTGGTCTCGACACCCTTTCTCGGTCGCTGAAAATGTACCTGCAAATGCGATTCACACGATTCCTCTCGGCTCGGAGGCGACTTTTAATTGGAAGTGCGTCTTCGAACAAGATTGTCTTGGTTGTTGTAATCGTCGAATATTTCAGCATCAAATATTTCAGGGTGGATTTAATGAACGAGTTGGTAGTCGTAGAGATTCATTACATCGGCAACGATAGCAGCTGGTTCGCGATCGGATTTTCTGACTACGGAGAGCTGAAGCCGGCTGATTACTGTGTCTTATGGCCTGACTGGCATCAACAGATTCATCTTCAAGTAAAATGTTTAGTGATATAAAAATATTAAATCGTTGTGTATAATATATCAAATTCATTTTCTTGTTCTTCTGCTAATAATTGGCAGGACTCGTCGGCGGATATCGACGGGAAATTACATCTGGACAGCCAGCAAGACTGCAAGAATTTTGCATGGAAAAGACGCGGAAATGTCACAAAGTTCACCTTCTCTCGCAAATTTGACACCTGCGATAAACACGATTATATTATTGAGGCGAGTAAATCTTATTATAATTTTTGGAAATTCGCAAAATTTAAAAGATAAAAAAATTTAATGTGATATGTAATATACTTGATTATCAAAGCGTTTACTTTATAAAAGTGATTTGATAAAGAAATAGAACATTCGAAATTCGAAATTTTATACGCACGTATAACAACTCTCCATATATATTATTATTTATATTGATAGGAGAACAGAGAGTAATAAAATATTCTAGTCTTAGACTCATATCGACTAAAGAATTCTTTTCTCAAGAATTTAATCGTAATAGATTAAAATATTCGCGTTTTTAGAGAGGTACTACGCATCTCGTGTGGCTCCGCGGCCGCGGACCATTGTCTTCTTTAACCGGGCTTGGGATTTCGGACGCGAAAGCATCCGGCATGTCCCGTACGGAATTGCGCAGAGTGTCTCATAAGAAGCCCGAGTTCCCTGCGAATGCTTGGCAGCTTGAATTACTTGCCCATAATGTCCAAGTACCAAAGCAGGAAACCACTTATTGGTGTCGCGTACATAAATTACCGTCGGTATTGAAACAAAAGTGCGTACAGTTTAGATATAAATGTATTTTATTAAATTTGCGAGAGAGATTTCTGCATATCATATGATCTATCATTGCTATCTTCTAATCTTATTGATTTGTTTCGAATTCATTGATCAGTTCAGAATTAGATTTTTCATTAATACTTTTATCAGTCAAGAGTTTTAATATTATATAATAATATTATTTAATATTATATAATATTATATAATATATTTGTCGGCAGGCATCACATCTTACAATTCGGCCCCGCCATTCAAGCAGGAAACGAACACGTCGTACATCATATGGAAATCTTTCACTGTGCGGGCCCCGTAAATGAAGAAATGCCCAGTTATGATGGTCCTTGCGATGGAATTGATAGACCAGCAAAGACACAGGTAATTGTCCTTTCATGAAACGGAACCAACAACAATATTGCATAAATAGAAAATTATTATTTCTTGAGGCATTAAAGTTGAATGTTCGAATTATTTTAATATATGTTTTCCGTATTATTAATTACGGACAAATTTTCAAAATTTAAATATAATTAAAGGCTTCATATTCTTTCTTGGTTTGTATTCTTAAATATAGATGATTAATTTTTCATATCGAATGTTCTTTTTTTTGAGAGCAAAAAATACGTCTTCGATCTAGCCCATTCATTTTGATCCATGTAGATCTGTAAGAAGGTGATGGCGGCATGGGCGATGGGTGCCGATGCATTCGTATATCCGGAAGAAACCGGCTTGTCTATTGGCGGAGCTAATTTTAATCCCTATGTCATGTTGGAAGTGCATTATAATAATCCCGAACTACATCAAGGCATTATCGATTCCTCCGGTATCCGATTTGTTCTCACCAAATCTTTGAGAAAGTACGATGCTGGTGTGATCGAGCTTGGACTCGAATACACCGATAAGATGGCTATACCCGCGGGACAGGTGAAGAAAAAAACTGATTGATCGATTTTTCGAAAAATATGGAGAATAATAAATACCTGGATTTGAAGCTTTTTGATTTGTAGATTTAATAAATCAAGCTTCATTAATTTCCTTAGGAAGCCTTCACGCTATCCGGTCACTGTATAGCGGAATGCACCGGGGTTGGATTACCCCAAAGTGGTATACACATTTTTGGCTCTCAACTACATACGCACTTGACGGGCACAAAAGTCATCACCCGTCACGTAAGGGATGGTGAAGAATTACCGCCGTTGAACTATGATAATCATTACTCCACTCATTTTCAGGAGATCAGATTGCTGCCGAAACCGGTGACCGTTTTGCCTGTAAGAAAATAAACACAAAAGTTAGTTAAAAGAAATAAATATAGAAATAAAAAAGAGAGATAGGAGATAAATAAATAAAACAATTCATATGTAGGAAATTAAAAGTAAAAATAAAAATAAGATTATAGTGATTATAGTCTCTTTGTTAATTAGTGGCAGATAACATCATAATAAAAAAAAAGAATGAAAAATAAGAGAAAATTCTTTTCTAATATTTTACATTTATTAAGTTTATAATATATAAAATTCCCTTCTCTCTTTTATTACAAATAAAATATTTTACAGGGAGATTCTCTGATAACTATGTGTACTTACAATACCATCAAGAGGGATAACGTAACCCTTGGCGGCTTTGCTATATCCGACGAGATGTGCGTTAATTACATTCATTATTATCCTAACGCCCTATTAGAGGTAAATTAAGATCATTAGCAAAATAAAGGGAATAATAAAATATAAATAAAATGGCATTTATTCGTTCACACAAATTAAAAAAAAAAATTCCATATTATTCAGGTGTGCAAAAGCGCTATAAGCGACGATGCTCTGCAGACGTACTTCCGTTACATGCGAGAATGGGAAAATCAAGACACTAGCACAAAAAAGGGCATCTCAACGAATTACAAAAGTATCGAATGGACCAAAATCCGCGTGGAAGCTCTTCATGATCTCTATGAAGCTGCACCTTTAGGTTCACGCTTTTGAAAACTTTAAATTTAAATATTTATATTTGTTCTTTCGAGTCTTTTATAATTCTAATTAAAATTTGAATTTATTCTAATAATTTTTGACAAGTTTGTTTTCAATAAATATGTAGACACATAATACAAAAAGTTTTTGATATAAAATATAAAAAGAAATGTATATCTTTATCATACTTTTATTAATCAATCGCGTTTGCAATGTTTAATCTTAATCTTTGTATAATAAATATTCTATAATTTATTTATAATTGATTTATCAGGAATGCAGTGTAACAGTTCGGATGGTTCTCGATTACCTGGTTCATGGGACAATATCGCGGCGACACCCGTTAGATTACCTCTGCCACCCCCAGCCAGAAATTGTGTGGAGCTTTCGCTTGAGCAAGAAATTCTGGATCAAGTGTGAACGTTTTATTTTAAAATTTTAATTATTCGATTATTCAATAAATATTTCAAGGAAATTTCAAACAAATAATTGTTATTTTAGACTTTTTAAAGCATATTAAATTTAAAATTATTTACTTAAAAACTTTGGAAATCTCTCCTAAACAGTTGCTACTGTATTATTTAATATGCCAATATTCGATTATCTCAGAAACTGTTAATAATATTATTTAATATGCCAATATTCGATTATCTCAGAAACTGTTAATAATAATATTTTATATTATAAGAGATTTATAAATTATATCAAATTATAAGATTCTTAAAGTTCAAAGATTTTCGCAATAAAATTTGAAAGTTTCGTTATAATAATCCAAACTATCGAATTCGTTTTCACTTAAATTTAATATGATGAAGATACCTCGAAGTAAGATGTAGCAAATCTAATAAATACATATTGACCGATATCAAAGTTTATAAATTTATGAACCTTCAATTTGTTTTGATCGAAAACATCTCGTTAAGACAAGATAATAAATCTAATAAATACAATCGATATAAAAGTTTATAAACCTTCAGTATATTTATGCATTTTAAATGATTTTTTTCGTTTTTTTTGGCAGTACATCGCGTCTCGCTGCGAACAAGCTAGCTTGATCAAACTTCATAACAAATAGTATACTGATGATAATTATCTCATATATATAATGGAGTAATAATAATAATAATAATAATACACAAATATAATAATCGAGGAAACTCGTTTTTACACTTTGTATCAATGTACAAAATAAGGCGGACCTTAAACGCTACGACGATATCAAAATTAATCTTATGCGGTACTTTTTTTACGGTATAATACATACACGGGAGAGGAAAGGTAGTAATACATGCATACAAACAAGCACAACACGCACGCGATTGCCTTTATACGCACGAGGTACAATAGTTACTATACGTCGAGCGTAAACAATTCTTACATACGTCTTCGTTTTTATCGAACACTTTTATAGTCAGACTTGGCTTTTTTTCGTTTTCTTCTCTTTTTTGTGCTTTTTTGCATGTTACTTTATAATTATTGTAAACTTCATAAACGGTCTGGCGTAATGCACAGTACACTATATGTACCGATTTCTACTAATTTGTACTGCCAAATCCGCGTTTTTTTCCTCTCTCTTTATGGTGATTAGAATGTCCCAAAAATTATTAACAAAATTAATGATATTGTATAAAAAAGCAAAAAAGGAAAAATCACAAAATATATATATATAAATCGCTTTCTCATATAGGATTATTTCTTCGAGAAAATTAATTTTGATAATCAAAATTACAAAAAGAGAAAAATATAATGATTTTTTATTAACTTAAAAATAAATCTGCCAAAAACAAAAAGTCGTATCTAAATTTATTCTGCACTTTTGACTTGATTTCTTTCTTCTGATTTCTAGAGCATCTTTTTCGTTTAAGCGATTTTCGGGACATTCTATATACGCACAGGAAAGGATCTTTGTCTTAGCATCTTCTCTCTTAAGCTGCAATTGGACGATAATAAAGAAAAACTAGTCTTGTTTATATTACGAAAGTACAGTCGAAAAATAGCGCTTTGACGGAATAAGGAGGACTTATTCTTGAGGCAGTCGTATGTCTTTTTGTGACAAATCTCTTAAGTTTTTTTTGCACGAAGGCTCGAACCGTTTCTTGGTAGATTCATTTTTTGGTAGAGAGTTCGAGCCGAAATGGAATGGACGATTATTATATTATATAAAGCAAATGCTCAATTTTTTGCACACTATGAGGAACATCGTTCCCTGAATTTCATAGGACCTCCAAGGAACAATAAACCACACACATACATTCTTTCTCTCTTTCCCCTGGATGCTTTTGCAAGATGAAACACGAAAGTACAGAATCCATATTACTTAAAGCAATAGCTTATTTGTTGCAAAGAGTACAAAAGGGCTCATATAAAAAGAGTTAGATTTTCTGTTAGGAACACACATCACATGGAAAAGTACTTAATTTCTTAGAGCATTGATGCGCCCGAAAGAGATTGCATAAATCTAGTACATAAATTTCAGGCTTTTAAAGTTTCGATTTCAGACTTAAGATTAGATCAGACATAAGATTTTTTATTTTACCCTTTTAGAATCTTTTCAAGAGAGAGACACTCTCTATTTTTTTTTAATAAAAATCTTTTTTCTCTTTATAATTTTCTTTATAAATTGCAGGAGATATTCTTAATATACAAAGTATTAATACAATTTTTCAACCAATTTGCTCGCTTTGGCTAATCTAAATTAATCCTCTTTGGTCAATTTCTCATCTGAAATTTCTGCACTATATTTTTCTCTTGAAAAACTTATCTTAGAAAGGGTTGTCAATTTGATCGTGCGCGAGTGGCATCGTCGCTCGAACAATACAAAGTAAAAAATATATTATAAACTTCAAAATTAAAAAGATATATATATATATATATGTATATATATTATTACGTTTCATATATCGTTCTATAAGAGCAGCTTTGCTACGTTATTTTGCACGCGTACGGAATATAGAGGTTTCATGTAGAAGATTCCATCAAAGCCAGTCTATTTGCTTAATACATTTTCGATCTCTAGTTCAGCATTGCACGAAAGGGAAGATAGGTTGCAAAACTAATGTCTACAAAAGGAACCGAATTGTATTATTGTGCCAACCTGCGCAATACAAAATTATCGATAGACGTCTGGAGGATAAAAATTGATTTCTTGATAGCGATCTCTTAATTTAATCATAAAATATTAATTAAAATAATAAAGTAAAAAGATTACTTGTTTGAAATATAATAAAGAATTTAAGGATTAAAGAAATAAAATATAATAAAGAAAATCAAGAATTCTTTATTAATATATAATTCTTTATTATATTTCAAAAAAATAGCCTTTTTCACTTTATTAATTTAATTAATATTTTACGATTAAATTAAGAGATCTCTCGCTATCGGGAATCAATGTCACATTTATCTTTTATTTAAGGGATATATAGATTATTGTCAAATCTTCTGATTTGACGATGTAATTATACAACATACAAAAGATGTGTTTTATACATCACAAACGGTACATTAAAGAAAGGAAGAAAGAAGAAAAAAAGCAAGAAAAAAACTGAAAGGTGATATGTGACGATGCCTGAATGATAACCTAAATTTAAATCGATAATCGATCAATCTAGTTGTCAAATTTTAAAGACGTAATATTTCTATTTTTATTGTATTTTGATGTATCATTTGCGATGTATGTAACACATTATTTTTATATGATATATAATTATATTGTTAAATAGGAAGATTTGATAACTGTTTCTAATAATTGATAGATGTCTGCTTCAGAAAGTTGCAGCGTTTCCGATTACCTACCCATCTCAAATTAAATGACAATGTTAATCGCGGGATCCGTTCTAAAGGACCGAGGGGTTTTGTCGACTAGAGCGATTGATTGTTCTGTTGTTGCATGTGTAACTGTAGGAAACAGTAAAGAATGCCGGCCTGCGCCATCACGTCGACGGTACCGGCGGCGAGAGGATCGCGACTTTTGGCATCGCTGCGCGAGTTACTAGTGCCAGGTCGTAACAACGTGGGTCCAAACACTGTGGCTAAATTATGAAGCGACATTTTGTTCTGCGCTTCATGCTTGTTCACGCGAACAAGATGTGCTAGCAGGAAATCGATCACTGCTTTATTGACGGAGGGCAGACTATCGTAGACGCGGCGTAGAGCAGCGCCCCGTGACAGATCGCCCGTTTGGAAGGCTTCCAGAAATGCCGGATAAAGGGCGTCGGTGAATAGGGCCTCCGGCATTTCACGCAGGTACAGCTTTAGCACACCCGTCACCGAATGCACGTCTACCTACATATTCACACAAAGATATCAGTACAATGTGGAAAGCTTCTTTTTTGCGCGACAATTATTAAGAGCATGCAAAATAAAAACGTACCTCTTTAAGCAACTGCTCGGCTTCATACGAATTACTCTCGAATGATTTACGTAGTCTTGCTACATCGGATGCCGAGCCGGAAACGCGATACAAGCCTACCTCGCCGACACCTCGTCTTTCCACTTCTCTCACGCATGCCGTTATTATGAAAGGCACGTCGCGTTTCTCTCGCCTGGAACAAAAAGTAATACATTTAATAGTAATATATTTATATTAAAGTAAATTAATTACTTAAGTAATAGTAATATATATTTCTTTGGAATATTTCGTATGTGTATATGTGTGTATAAATTAAGAAATATTTAGTAATTTCACTTTTATTATAGGAAGAAATAAGTAACTTTCCATTTCTTTCAATCGCCAATTATTTGATTTGAATATTGAGTATAAGTAATATTTTTTTGCCGAAGATTTAACGAAAGATTATAATCAATTTCTTATTTTTTTAACTCGAATAAAATTGCGCCTACTTGCACACTTGCTGGATCTTGGCGCCAAATAAGCCTTGCGGTTTAGCTGAAGGCACTCGTCTCAGAGTGACCTCGCTGGGAACAAAACGTAGCGCTACATCCAACGATGTGGGACCCAAATTCAATGATCTCTCCACCTGATCGGATTGCAACCAAGATCTGCTCAACCGCTGAATGCATTTGCCTCGCAATAGCGAGCGTGAACCGCACTCCTCATACAACAAGATTCTAACATTCTGACTTCCCTCCAACTCTACCACAAAGGTCTCGCCTGTAATTGAAACAAATAAAAAATTTTATAATCAATAATATAAAGAATTTTAATTTTAAGATAGACAATTATCTATGTTTGCTGAAGATTACAATATTTGAATATTATGTAAGATTAATATATTACAAATGTAAAAGAAAAAAGAATTTTACTCTAGTGAAAAAGATATCTTACCCCAAAGTGGAGCTTGACCCTTGGCGACGCGACTTCGTGCTCTCTTGAAGTAGTGTCCATAGCTGTCAACTTCCACGATGATATATAGATCGCTCACTCTGTCTAAACCTGGTGGAGTCAGACCGAGCAGCGTTAGGTGAAGATCACCCAGCAGCAAGCTCTCGTCGCGTCCCGATCTCAATAGATAGCTGCCCATATCCGTTTGCAGAAATGTCCGACAAGCGGTAACCCAAGCTTGCAACTCGTACATCGACAAGGGCAGTTGTCCTGGAGGTTGTCCACCCTGTAAAATATGTTAACAATGAAAAATTTCCTCGTTTTTTTTAAATATAGCTTATGTATATATGTATATGTGTGTGTGTATAACATAACATATAAATAAAATATATGATTAAGTATATATTAATAATTATATTATTAATATAAGAGCTATATTATAATAGTATGAGATTCGATACCTGCTGTAACGCGTCTACTGCCTCCACCCATTGAGAACGTTCAAACTCGCTGGACAAAAAGAAAGTATAGGAATTCTGCACTCGGTTTTGCTGGCTCTTATGCGCAACGCGTAGAACCAAGTTTGGCGAAGCTAATACCAGCTGCGCTTCGAGTTCGGCGAGTTTCTTACGATTTTTCTCCGAGCCTCTTCCACCCAATCGGATCCGCTTCTCATCGTTCCGTTCCTCCCACAATATCTGATCGCGTACCGTACACGCTTGCGATCTATTTTAACAATTTTCATTACTTATAATAGTTTAACTAGGCATTAGATTAATCAAAAAGTTCGTTCGTTTGTTTGTTTCATTAATATAATGATATGTTGGTGATTTAACAATGAGTCATTATTATCATTACTACGATTTTTATCATAGTAGTGATTGTATTTTATAAGATGTTGAATGGATGTGTGAGAGCAAATCTAATAACAAGTTTATCGATATATCGATATTAATAAAAATATCATATATGTGTGTGTGTGTGTGTGTAAAATTAATTCCTACTGTTAATATAATTTATAATCAATATAATTTATAATTAATATAATTTATTATGGATTGTGAATCAATTTACCTCAAAGCTACCACGTTAGCAGGGCTAGCTTCGCGTGGCTCTACGCCGTCCTCTGTAACAGCCGCTTCTGCTACGGGGACATACCACTTTAATTCGAATGTGAACTTGTCCCTGCCGGATGCTTTGTACTTCGCACAGGCGATTACATCGTTAAAGAGAAAAAGATGTCTCAGTTTTCTGTGACCGTCCGAAAGTTCGACTACAAACGAATTCTTCACTAATCTTCGTTGAGCTCTATCATGACTCTAAGCAGAAAGACAGAACAATTATGCATAATATAACAATTACATTATACGAGAAAAAATATAATATTATATTGCAAAAGTATAATATTACATATTGAATCTTTCTTACCGGAAACATGGACTTCGTCTGAATAATATTAAACTCATCTAAGAAGTTCCTGGTCATAGCCAGAGCTTCTGATAGAGGCGCGTGATCCGCATGATTGACTGGCGTATGTTTCAGAAGATCCTAGAAAACAATGAAAAAAAAATATAAGATAAATTGAAGATTACGACATATTTACTCATAGTAGTTTATCTCTCTAGTAATTTTATCAGTCATATTGTAGGAAATCGCACTTTACGTTGACGCATATGAAGAGAATTCATTTATAAATAAATATTATATATACTTACATGTAAAACTAAAGCATTCTTTTGCACTCGCGCAACTGGTTTATGTAACAGATCTTCTAGTGACAAACCCGGACCTTTTGGAAAACCTCTGAGTCTTATATCTCTGGTAATCTCTGCGAATTGTGTGGAATGAGCAGAACATCGTCGCACGGTGTCGGTCGCACGACCATAATTATGCAAAAATGCACCGTATAATCCTATATTACTGGCCATAATCTGAAATTATGTTGCGTTACGTGATTACTCCATTTTTTTCAATTTATACGAGATAAATGGCATATTAAATATACTTTAAATTGTTCTCCTATAGAAGGTTTACTATCCCACTTCTCCGTCTTCTTTCGAAGACCATCCAGAAATGTTTGATGCAAAGCATGCAGTTCTGGAATCTTGTAGAACATTGTTCCAAATTCCTCCTCCGAGATGACTGGTTGAGATGTTGTTAAAGTTGCTCTAATAGCTTTCATATACTACAAGCAAACAAAGATAGCGATACACATGTATTTTAAATAAACTGTGACTCAAATTACAAAATAATTACATACTTGTAACATCACAGTTAAACATTCCACATATACAGCTTCACTCTCTACTACTGAATTCACAATACACTTGACCATCGACGTTCTGTCATCCTCGCGATCCTTGCTCTTTTCCTGTCTACGCGGCGTCGTCGGAGTTGGTGATTCCAAGCTGCCCTCGCTTAAACTCAATGGTTCGGCATCGCTGCTGCCAGTTTCGTTGTCCGTACTGAGAGCTCGTAGCAAAATCGGGGGCGCTGGATTGGCGCCCTCTTCGTCTTCGCTGTCCATCGCCGCTCTGTGTCTAAAAATAATTTACGTATCATATACATGTTCCATATTTTCACTTTAACCCGGGAGTACTCGTACGTGAATTCAATCAATAAATTAAAAAAATACATATGCTCGAGATGACTCGGGGAGGCACGCATACTCCGCGTGATTAAAGATTTTGATATGCTTTAATTGAAGTGAAGCAAGAGATGACAAATGACTTACTGTATAAAATAATCGATGTTGACATAATTACTCTGATTGCCCGGCGAATCTGGCAATGACGGAGGTCTTCGAGGTGCTGCCTTGTTTCCATTGTTGCTGTTAACAATGGGGACGCGTGCGTCAATGTAGACATATTCTCCAGTTTGATCCAAGGCTACTGAGTCGTAATAAGGCTCTTCTTCTGAAGCTTCCGCGTCGCCATCCTCGCCATCCTCGTTGATCGCCTTTTCTAAATCTATTTAGTGAACAAATAACATCATCATATGAAATTCAAGAACAAGATTATTTGCCTTTATAAATATTTGAAATTCTTTTTAAACTCCATCAAAATAATTTACATCATATGTATATATATATATATATATATATATATATATATATATATATATATAAAGCAAAAATGATAGTATTCTTGTAGAACTCTGCAATTAATTTTCAATCACTTTAAATGATATAAGTGAAATTTTTTTGTGAATTTATCTAAATTTTTTATTGAATCTTTTTCTTAATATCATAAGAAGAGAAAGCTACTATAATAATTATATAGACAATTATAAAAAGTATCATAAAAAAAATTTACACAAGATAAGCTAAAAAAATTACCTTTCTCATCCTCTTCCTTGAGAGATTCTTCGTTTTTATCTTTTTTCGAGCTCCCAGTAACTTCGATTACTGTAACATAATTACTTGGCACATCTGGATCACTGTTTCTCCTAAGTTCAGGCACTTTCTCGGGACTCTTCGGTATCTCGCTCTTGGGTCTCTTGCCCGCTGTGCCGAGAGTCGAACTCAATTCAGACACGCACTTGTCTTGAAATTTGCTAATATCATCCCGTTCCGTCACAATAGGAGCGGACGATCCGACATTAGTCGGATTCGAAGAGTCTGTCAAGCTATTTTCTGTTGCTTGAAAATCCTGTTGAGATTGCAGTTCTATCGTTGCTTCCTGTTTATTCTCAGATATATTCGCACTTGAATTGTTAGCCAGCTGCTTGTGTCGTTCGACATCAGCCAATAATCTTTCTAAATATTCCACATAAAATTCTTCTTTTTCAAGTTCTTCTCTCAAAGCTGTCACCTGCAAAAGAAATATAAGAACATATATATTGTATACAACATGTCTTTTTTCAAAAAGCTTTTCTCATTATTTAATAAAGAATTTTATAAATTTTTAATTAATTATTTTAAAATTATTTTAGAAAATTATATTTCATAAAAAACTATATATTTTATTCTAAACACATTAAATATATTTTTAAAAAATAATTGTTCTATTTAAAATTATAATAACTATTTTTAGCGTTTACATTATGTTCTTTCAATAAAATTTTAAAAATTGGTTAATATATATATATATATATATATATATATATATATAAAATACTACAATTTTTTAAAGTTAGTTATTTTAAAAGTATTTTAGAAAATTATATTTCATAAAAAAACTATATATTTTATTCTAAACATATTGAATATATTTTTCAAAAATAATTGTTCTATTTATACAATTTTTTGCTATTCTTAACGTTTACTTCTTAACGTTTATTATATTCTTTTAATAAAATTTTAATAAAAGTTGGTTAATATATATATATATATATATATATATATATATATATATATATATACTACATACAATTTTTTAAAGTGACTTAAATACAATTAAAATAGTTGCTTTTAAATGTGCGATGACACGATAGAAATAATTTACAATAATTCACAAACAATTTGATGATAATTGATTGAATTGAAATAAATTGAAAATAAAAAATCAATGCTGATTATTTCTTTCAGATACTATTCACTTTTTTGTTTATCAAAATGTTGTTATATACAAAAAAAATAATTTATTTTGGTATTCTAAATGTTACGGATACTCTGCTACTAGCAAGTTGCAGTTACAATTAATTTGATGAGTCATCAAGCCACTCTATGTGATATTAATCGAGTTAAATGTGATTAAGTTTTTATCATAAGTGGTATGAAATTAGTTTTTTCATTGTTCTTTATTTTCCATATCAGCATTCAACTTGCGTGTTTCCTCTCTTTCTCTAAGAGTTCTTCACTATCTATTTGAATCATATATACCAATACAAACACAAACATCCCACTCAAATCTGACTAATAAATGCCTGGTAAACATTGCAACACCTCAACTCATTCATTCTATGCTTCCTTAATCATGCAACTCATGATCGCCACAAATGTTTACTCCTATCTGTTCTAGAAATCTGACAAGGCTTGTCAAGAAGAATTGGTTGCTCTAGTCTATTTATTTGATGAGTCATCAAACTACTTCAGGATAGTAATTGAATTATATAGACCCTTTTTTTGCACGCATATATAATAATCATATGCTCACATCTAATAGGTACCTGAGTATTGCAACATTATTACAAACTGTCATTATGCAAGTTTCATCCTTGTTTCACTTTATTCTTATTCCTTTACCTTATCATAATTCATCACAACACATCCACAATCCGCACGACACCTCACTCTGGCTCTCGTTAATAAAGATGAAATATTTCATCTCGCGAGATCTCTTCTCCGAAGAGGGATTATCGCAACTATACTCACCTTCTGCTTATGTTTGACGAGATTCGCTCTAACGTCTTCTTCCCAGGCGGCCGGCAAGGCGCTGTCCGGGAACCGCTGCACCCAGACACGCTGAAAGTCGCCGAACACGCTCATGCCTCCTGGTGCGCGTGGGCGACGACGACACTCCTCGTCGGCGACTCCTCCTCGGACGAGTCCCACCACCACCACCACCACCAGCACTCACGGTGCCGTCGTGCGCATCGCACGAGGGCGCGGCACCCACGACGATGACGACGATGTCAAGTCTCGCGTACTCTTCGTTCACTCAACTCCTTTATTTATAGGCGCACTTGGCGCACCTTCAAGGTGCGGTGCGATGTTTTCTCGGTTTCTCGTGGCGGGCCCAACAGCGTAGCCAGCCATCCAGCGTAATCATACGGCCGCTGTCATCTTGTCGACATCTCCTGCGTAGGTCACGTTCCGATCTTTTCCTCTCCCCTCCTTCTAGCGTGCCGATGACGCCGCCACTATACCGCCTTCAACATAACTCCCCCGCGCGCGCGTTGTCTATATTTATAACAGAACGTTCTATTCGTGCGTCTCGACACATACATACCTATTTCTAATTGGATCGATCCTCTTTTCGTACTCTCTAATATAGCGAGACTAATACTGATAATTAATAAAATAATTAATAAACAGCGAATAGAAAAATTTTCGAATAATTCTAAAAATTAATTTTCTCTTTCTAATTCTTGAAATAAATTAGAAAATATAGAATATAAAATTAAAAAAAAAAGATAGAAATAATTTAATTTTTAAAAGTATAGAAAATGCATTCTTTAAATTTCTTTACTATAAATACGAAGAATTTAAGCAAACAACAAATCTAAATATAAAACGTCTTAACATATCTAAATTAAACAATAAGATATGGTTTCTCTCAGAAAAATTCATTAGTTTTTATATATATATACAAATTTTTTATATTCTTCTGAATGAAGGATAGGATGTGTTAAGACGATTAGGATAAGTATGTAGATAGTTGTGTAGATAAGTTAGCATCAGTTGGTATTTGTATATATAAATTATATATAAATTTAAGCATGTAGATTTATTACAAAAGAAATCATCGATAAGAAACGTATGTTGTTTAATTACCTATTTTCACACTTTATAGATTACTGCATTTCTCCAAAATGAATCTCCAATAAAAACTATACAATGCTTCATAAAAAATACTACATCATTGGATTATTTTATAATTCAATATAAATCATAAGTAATTATGTACAACATTCGATTGTTTGGAAAAATTTCGATTAAATTTTATGTACTACCATTCTTTACTTCGACTGGGCTGAGAATGGTGAGCACATACTGCAAAACCTTCACTAATTCTTGCTCTTGTTTACTGGCATCGATACTCGACAATGTAAATCTACCAAGAGCTTCTCGAATACTCTGAGAAAATCCTGCGCTTCGTGCGATGAGTTTTCCTTTTTGATTATTGCTAATCAAGGACCATAACGTGGAACCAGCAAGGTTGATTTCATACAGCGATCCATTCTTAAAAATGTCGTGTAACAAATTGATAAAGTCCACTGAAAATTAATAAAGATGTAATACAATTTATATTAAATAAATTAGTACTGATACAATACTAGTTTATTTACCTGAACTAAGGAGTCGAGGTCTATTCGTTATGTTGAATGCTAAATTGCGTAGAATCGATATTGCGAGAACTTTGCTTGATGATGATGAACACTTTGCTAAATGTATTAAAACATCTAAAGCATCAATAGCCTAAAATATTATGATGTATTTATTAAGAAAGTAATACATATATATTTTTTTATGTGTTTTTTACCTTTGGCACACATAATTGTCCTTCTTCATAATAAGTAAAATCTATTAAAAATTCTAGACAATACATCTCCACTAATGGCCATGGTTTTATCCTTTTAGTAATAATAGGATGTATTTTAGTAAAAAATTGAAGAAGATTACTCTGTGAAATAAATAATGTTTTAATTCATAATTGACAATTTAAAATTTAGTATTCATATCACATTCAATGTTTTAAACCTATCTGGTGTAATAAAAATGAACTATAGTGACAATTACCTTCGAAATACAAACTCTACATTCGTGAACATGCACCGCATTTCGTAAAATATGGAAAGCAAAGTGCATTTTATGATTATCAAAAATTTGACCAGCTCTTTCGATTTCTTTGCTTGCCATTTGTATGATAACATGTATTAAGGCGAGCGTATTTGGCGTTTTTCTTAATCCAGTTCCCGGCAATATTGTTGTTAATGTTAAAGATTGCGCGGCTTAAAAAAATGTAACAGATTAATTAAAAAAATAGCATAATGATAAAAAATATGTAAACTTTATCAATATATATTTATCGATACTTTAGTAATACTTTATTGCTATATTAATTTGTCATCTTACCAACATTACATTTTGTTGTAAACGTCGCCAACAATTTCAAAGCAGAAGTTGATACTGTTTTATTTAATGCTATCCAGGCCCACAGTTTATGTACTACATCTGCTAAACCTTTTTTTGTTAGAGTCTCCTTAATGTTTGCATCTCCATACATGAAGTTCATCAAAAGTATGAAGATACAGTTTATATCATGTAACAGAGGATGAGTCTGTAAAAAGAAGTGGTTTTTTTTAGAGAAATTGTAAGGATAGCAGACGTTTTTCGAATAAAATTTCTAACATTTTCCTACCTTCTTCTCTACTTGTTTCTTATAAAGTTCAAATGGTTGGAGATTCAATTTAACGTATAGTTCTTTAAGAATCATCAATGCTGTTTCAGGAAGATCATTCTGTAGTGCAACTCGTTTTGCTTCCTTTGACACATACAATAAGTTAGTCAGAGCTCCTACAATGAGATCCTTATCTTCTGATTGTTTGCAATTTTTTTTGGATTTCGCATAATTATGAGCAATAAAAAGATGTAGCAAGAGCCCGCATAATTCGCCTCCTATTGTAATCTGTTCTTGATTCAATGATTTATCTATCGAATACGAATTTTTCTCACTTTCGTTCGTTTTTTTGGAATGCACGTTCGCGTCTCTTATTGACAACTTGTTCACACTTGATATGACATCTCGCAAATTATCATCCTTGCTTTCATTCGCGACACGTGTATCAAGTATCGTATCGAGTGTCGTCCGTAATAAAGAAACGTCGTTTTTCTCTAGCGAATCTTTCTGAATCTCTTGCGACAGTAGAAAGGCTAAGCAACCTATGGCATTCATTCTCAAATCTGTCGCCGAGTCCTTTATTGCAAAATAGGTGGAAGCCATCACAATTTCTGGTCCGCATAATTCTAGCGCACTTTGAATGGCTTCGAAATGCTGGTCTTCCGTTAACGAAAGCATAGCTACAAAGTTATAAATTTCTGTCCACAATCTGTTGCGCAGATATATCAGATGCGGTTCGGCAGATTCTGGATAAATTATGTAAGTAAATATTAAGATTTATATTTAAAATAAATTTATAATTTAAAATAAATGTATATACTTACGATACAAATCTATATTTAAAAAGCGAAATAAAGTGTACAGTGAGTCCGAGGAAAAAAGAACGACAGCTGAGTATTCATTGCTGTGCGTTATGCAATTTATTAGAACTGTACAAATGCTAATATACATTTCCAGCACATCAGAATAATGACTTAAATTCTTTCTGTTTCCATTATCTTTCGGAATTTCGTTCAAACATCTTGAAATAAAGAAAATAAAACAATTCAGTTGTAGAAAAATAATTATAATGTTTTATAGATATCTTTCCATGTACATACCCAAATAAATATTTATCAATGGAATGTTCATAGATTTGCCGAACTACTTCGTGTAATCCGATGAATATTAAATTGTTTAATAAATTACAAGCAGCAGTGATGAGTGAAGGCGTCGCGATTGATTGCATGGAACTATCCACGTCAGTTATTTCCGAATCTCTACCAGAGACTGAATCAATGTAAAAAAAAATTAATTATAAATTATACAACAGAGAGCATCATTAAAAGAATATAATTAATGTAATTACATGCTTGTAATTCATCCTGACAGTTGTATAGATACGATACGATGCGCGGTACCAGTGAAAAGCAACCAGATTGCCCACTCTGTATGAAAGTTGGTTTGCCGTTATTTCTTCGATATTCTAATTGTTCTGCGTCTAGAGTAGTCAACATATAAATGTTGGAACATAATACACCGATTTCATGATAGATATTGCATTGTTCGACATATATTAGAACGGCTTGCGATTGTAAAGAATCATCCTATATAAAAGAAAGATTATAATTAAAGATCAATATAATCCTTTAAAATATATAAATATTTTTTTCATACTTTTTGCGAGAGAAAATATGTACATATTATACTTACACATTGATAAGTCATCGAATTCTTCAGCATATTGCAAAATGCGATACATGCTTGTTCTCTAACTAAACAAGATTCCTCTCGGTTCGCGATGCATTGAAGCAACGTATGACATAGATCACTCGGCGCCATAGCGATTGCGTTAAGGAGTTGTGACACAGTATGTACTGTGTTCATCAGACCTGCCAATAATTGCAAAGCCGAAGCGCGAACCAAGGGATCTCGATTTTGCCATAACATAGGTAACACATTTAATGAGCGACCCTCTTCGTGCCAAAATCCTACCCATGACTGTAATGATATAATAATTATTCACTATGTTGAAATAATAATCAAAGCATGCAAAATTATCGAGAAATTAAGATTAATTCTTGTAATCGATAAATATATCGTTTTCAAAATACTATTAAATCGCGATATATACTCACATTTTTATTAAAATTTACTTGCATTTGATGTAATAAATGATTAAGACATATTATTGAGTTTCTTGTTATTGATAAACCCATGAAGCTAACTGTACCAGCGCCATGAAAGGACACGATTGGTTCAATGAGAGTGTTGCAAAGAGACAATAGTAAGTTCTTGTGATTTCCCCATTCGCACTGTCCAATTAAATATGTCAAACATGTTAGCAGCCAATCGAGATATGCTATAACAAATAAAAAAGGAAAAAAAAAGATTATAACATTAAATTTCACAGAATCAATTTTCTTCTATAACAAAAATTTGTGTAGAAATTACAATTTGGGCAGCTTCAACAAATACTAACCGAGATTGTAGAAATGTTGCTGATCCCCAAAACATAGTGTCAAAACAACAAATTCTACAAATTTAATCCAAGTATTCTTAGGCTCGCCATTGGACTTTTGCATCTTTTCGATCGCGGAACATGTACGCACTAATTTCAATATAGATTGATGTACATTTTGATTATCGACTTCCAAGTTCTTAAATAAATCTGCTAATGATCTTGTCATATTTTTCATAATCTTACTGATCCATGATCCTTTCCCTGAGAATTAGAAAAAAAGATTTAACATCCTTTAATATAATTTTACGTAAAAAACGGCGATATCTAAAGATATCGCTATATGAATTATAGCCTTTCACCTTTTTTTGCCACATTTAGATATAATTGCAAAAAGATTAAAACATCTACAAATAAGTCGCAGTCTTCTTTACTAGAGGGATGTGATAATAGAAATCGTTCAAATGTTTGTTCCCAAGGTAGTGAATCTATCTCTTTTTCGTTATTACGTTGAAGTATCTTGTAAAATTTTAGATACCTAAAAATCAAATAATTAAAATAAAATTAGTAAATAATGCAATGCAAACAATGTTCTTGATATCAATTAAAATTAAAAAATGAGAGATTATTTAAAAAGAAAATTAAAATTAAAAGATGAGAGATTGCTAGCAACTTACATTGTAAGATAATCTAATGCACATGTAACACTATAGTGCGCAGTAGAATTTTGAATATTATAAAGTTGTTGTTGACAACAATATTGAGAAAAGCTATACTGCAAAGAAAGAAAATCCTTTTCAAGAATAATCAATTTCTGTGCAACTTCAGAATTCTGTATATCATCTAAGCTTTTCCATAACATGTTTATACCATCATTCCATTCCCATGCCCAATACTGTCTAATAAAAGTTAAGGCTACTGGATTACTACCATGAAGTACTAAAAATTAAAAAAACATTCTTTACTTGTTTCCATTCTATAGCTTGAAGATAACAAAAAGCAACTTTTCATGCAAAAATGATCAGAATCAGTTTTCTCCAGTTGTGTAAAAAAAAATTACTAATACAGATCTTATCTGTAAACTTACATGTCACATCAGATCGTCTATGTAGACTCGTTTTCCAATGGGATTTGCACGCAAACGGCAATTTCATCTTTGTCACAACAATATAAGGTAATGAAATATGTGACGCGATGCTGTTTTCCCCTAATGTAGCTTTTTCACTAACTCTTATGATGTGTTCACTATAGAGAAGTAAACATAGCAATTGCGCACCATCAGTTTTTATACATTCATTGTTTGGAAATAAAAAAAGACCTAAAAATTGAAAAATTTTTATGCATTTTTTGAATCAAAATTGTTATAAAATAAAAATAATAATGGAACATTACATATATATGTATGTATATGTGTGTGTGTGTGTGTGTGTGTGTGTGTATTTGTCTTTGATATAAACTTTTAGGACAAAATGGGATTATATGTAGTGAATTATACGTACTTCTTATGATGTTAAAGAGAACAGTGGTGCTGATAGATAACTCATGTCGTACAGAACATTCAAAAAATACGAGCAGTTTTAATATACTGATTATCGGTATCACAGAATCTGGATAATTTATATAATCTTTTTCTATCTAAAAATCACATGTTTTAGGTCAAATAAAAGAAATGTGTTTATAATATCTTATTTTGTAAAGTGCAATAGCTTACCAAAGCTTTACTGAAAATGTCCAAAATCAAAGGCAGTCCACCTTGATTAATAAACAATTTGTGCAGAGAAGTATCAGAAAGCATCACGCTAATTTGAACTAATGCTGATTTCCGTATTTTAGGATCCACATTTGGTTCGTTCAACATTTCCAATACTGACAATAAATTGCTCCTCTGTAAATAAAATAATTTTTTTAATAAAAATAATATTTAAAGTTATACTCGTATATCTCTAAAAGAATAGAATAGATTTATTTGAATATAAAGGGCTAGTATATATTTGTATAAAATAAAAATAAAAATCACGACACTGCAAGAGATTTAAATATTTTGAATATAAATAACCTGATAATTGCCTTCTGATCGCTTAACGGAGATTTTACGTTCAAATATGCAGAGTGAACTGAGAGGCAAGCCATGTAAAGATGACAGACGTGGTAATTTTTGGACAGAATCCTTTTCCTTCCCAAGAAGCCAGATTAAGCGACATAACGCTTCTTCCCGTATATCACTGTTTGGTGAATAGAGAAATCTTAAATTGCCCTTTAATACCTGAAATAAAGAATTATATAATACATAATAAAAACCAGAACACAGAAAATATATCTTCAACTATGTCAAATCACCTCGATAAATGGCAACTGTATACTGTTGGAAACATCGGGATCAAATATCTTGGTTACACACTGACCTAAAATTGTATTGGTATCAGCATGACACTGTAAAAGATAGAGCACAGGAACAAAAGCTTCTAAGGTTTTCAACCATCCAGTTTCACCCATTTGTATTCTCCCTTTCAGCATAAACACTATCATATCTCTTGATATTTCATTTATCTAAATATCAAACCAATAAAAAACTAAGCATTATAAAACTAAGTACACATTGCAATAAGATTTAAAAAATTATCATTACCTTTTTGTTCTCGCTTATAGCACCATGAGAGATAATCTCCGTCAAAATATTTGATTCAAATAAAAACATCAAATTTTTCCAGGATAGCTTATCTTTGTTATATTCTACTCCTAAAATACTTTTAACCAGAATATAACACTCGACATATGTGGCATGTTGAACATTTATATCTCCGTTCGCTAATAAATTTAATGTCAGTTTTGTTGCTAGTGCATAATCTTCATCACTTAGAGAATATTTTGAAATATCTTGTAAAAACTTTACAGCAATCTTTACAATAGTTAAATTTTTATGATATAACAAGCTTAATTTAGACGTGTATAACATTCTTAAAGTTTCTGAAGGTGATTGTTCTAATGAACCTTTTAATACAGAGATAGCTGCTTGCATAGACTTTGTAACAGTTTTAGTTTCATCAAATAGTTTTACTAATTCTATCTGATTAACGCCTTGAAATTGCTATAAATAAAAGAAGACTGTATTGTTAGTCAATAATTATTAATAATAAATAAAATAGAAAAATATAATAAAATCTCTTACTCGAGTATATTCCAAGAGCATGGAATGCAATGCTGGATACAATAGATATATTGGTGCATCCATTATAGTACTTGCTATGGATGTTTTTAAACTATTTGGTATAACAGTGTCTGCCAGTTCCAATGGTACAATACTGCTTAATAACTTCATGGTAATAGTAGTAAGATGCAAATAGGTTATTCTTAAATAATCCACATTGCTGCAGTTTTCAAAGTATTCCATCACCTCCCCCATTAAATTAAATAGCGCTTTCAAATCGTCGCTTATTTTTAATGCTGTATCATCATTGCAGAGCCAGATATTCGGCATTACACTAATTATAAGTAATTGTACTAATTCATGAGATAGATCTGTAATGTACTTGATATTTCGTAGAGGAAAAGTAGAATCGATGGGTAAACTTAATTGATTAAGAACATGTTTTAGAGACTCTATACAATAAACTGGTAGAAGCATCTGTTGTAATTGCAAGACAGAATCATCGACATTCTCACTGATGCTCTGACTTCTATCGCTAGTTCCCTAAAAGATAGTATTATTATGTGATAAAAGAATCTTAAGTATTATAAACTTGAAGAATATTAAAAACTTAATAAATTAAAATAATATTTACCGTTGATTGATATGCTTGATAATTTGCTTCTGGAAAACCACCATCTGGACCATCTCCAGCTTCCGAAGATGTGTAAACATTGCTATCCAATTTACTAGCTAGTAACTGTAAATAAATAATGAAAATATTATTAGAAAGGCATAACCAATAAGTAAGTTTGTTAATTGTGTTACAATGTTAAGGAATAAAATTAAATAGATCTTTTATATCAAAAGAAGCAAAATATAATTGTTAATATTATTATCACATTTTTATTTACCTTTTGCTTTTTATTTGCCACGCATGGTTCACAATAATAGTAAATACGAAATTTTAAGGAACGTGTTAATTTACGCAAAGTTCTTAATACAGTTGGAACCACAGATGCAACATTAGTTTCTGACATGCTAGTACTTGATTTAAGAAGTCCATGAAGTATCTGTAATGTTTTAGATTACATATTTTTTTAAATTATATATTTTGACATTTAAATTACATATTTGTACTACTCAGAATAATAAATATATTTTATGAAGAAACATCATTTACCATAACTATTGCTGGTCGCTGGAGAAAAACTTCTGCTGGGAAATCTTGCATCATAACATTTGTTATAAATTGACATGTATGTAATATATGATTAATATCAATAGTATTATTAAGAGCTTCCTCAACCGCAGTAAGTACTCCTTTATCTGATGTAACTAATGGTTGCCATGGCATTATTAGCCATTTTATACCACCTTCTATCGTTTCAGAAATTTGAGTACCATTCTCGTGTTCCGATGTTACATCAAGTGGTATTGTACTACACACAAATGTACATGTATTAATGTTAGTAGAATATACACAAACTAGAGAGAGAATTCTTTATTATTTTATTTATTTTCTTATAATTTAGCTAATAGTAAAATTTTTATAATTTGCATTAATTATCTTACCTATCCAAGAAAGATGGCAGAGTAAAAATATCATGTAAACTGTCATGATTTTCTTTTTCATAATCTTTACTTTTATATCTAGTATGATTTTGTATTTGTGTTTTATGTCTATCAAAGTCTGGACATACTGCATTTATAGCCAAATCCTACAATATGAGTATATTTATCCTTTTTCATAATACATATGTAAAAAGTAATATCTATACTTTCATACCTTTGTATTTATATTTGATCCATTTATTTGATTTCTTTCTGGATGAATAACAGCTTCCTCAATTTCATCCAATTTTGCATACCATTCAGAAGAGAGCTTTCTTCTCAATTCGTAAAGTTCATTTTGAAATTTTAATTTCCCAAATGCATTCAAGTAACTCTTTGCATCTGTCTTAAAATAAAGATTGTATGTTAAATAAAAGTATAGCAAGTTCTTCATAACAAAATATTTTACAAAATAATTTGTCAAATATATTAGTGAAATAGTCCAAGTACCTTTGCCAGCCGCAGTAATAAATTCAGTACTTTCTCTGGCTCTGGAGCAACCTCGAATGAAAACCAATTAAACAGTCTTTGAATTATCTCCTTCTTGACAGCGTCGCAATCGCACACGAAGCCGAGATCATACTTGGAAATAATATTGTCCAAAGCTCGCAGTCGTATTTCATCAATTGTATGGCCTAAAAGCAACGTTAATATGTATTCAAAAAAAAATATATATATGTAAAATTTTGAATCCTTTTTTTTACATTACTTTCTTACCTAATTTTTTAACATGTATGGCTGTTATTCCCGCGGTGGCTAACATCATAAACAATAATAATCTGTCAGACGTCGTCGCAGGTTATCTGTCACACGTATAAACTTCAAAAATTTAACCGCCAAATTCACAGCGACACTGTCATTCTTCAAAGTCGGAAATAATGAACGAGATAATGAGATGTGCGAGGCGATGAAAATGAGCGACTGCAGCGACCAATAGCGATCGCTTGTAGAATTACTTGCCGTAAATTATCGGTAAATTATGTGCGTGCACTTTATCAACAGTAACAAGTCTTTAACTTCGAAGATGAACGTCTCCATAGAGGGCGCCGCTCGTTTTTCTCTTCATCACGTTAGAAACAGCGCGCGTATAATTTCTACTCCGCGGTCGTATCTCTGGTGACAGCATCAGCGCGATGCGCATGCGCCGCAGAAACGTTCAATCGAATTTCATGCGGTATCGGCGCGAGATATATCGTTATTTTACGAGAGAGGAAATTTTTACGGAAATTTGCAACGTAAATAAATATTAAATCATTTTTATGTGTTGTGCCGCGTAAAAATCGAGAAGATGAGATGGAACGAATTCTACCGCTACTTCTTTCAACGATCGACAACAACGAAAGTTTCTCAAAGGATTTCTCCGTTTAATATCGTCTTATGAAATTTTACAAGGATAATTCGAAGCACATGCCTTTCGCTAAACGAGGTACGTGTAGATATTACAATCGGTTTAATTTTACGACATTGAATTACATAGTTATGTACATATCATTTAACTGCATATAAACATACAAAAGGTTTTAAGATTAATCATCGAGTCGTTGATCGCCACCGAAATATTACCGCCTTTAGCACCAGAGCTCGACTTCTCGAACGTAACTTTGCTCGGCTTGATAACTTTCGGTATATCGGGTATCTATGAAGCTCGAAGCTTTATCGCGCTAAAAAAACCGAGTCGTCATCCCGTAAAATTTGAGCAATTTTTATAACTTCGTAATTTTCAAATTTCTTCGCTGTAATCAACACATCATGTAAAGTAAATTTAATAAACTATGCCTAAAACGGATTTATAATTGATCATGTTGACAATCTTTCTTTCACGAAAGCAATCGAATAACATTAACGCAAATTATATATTATACTGAAAATAAATCCGAAAAGATCTCGTTATTAATTTCGTAAAGATGAAACATCATATATAAAAATATTTTGCGTTTTAATTACGGGATGATCGATACGTAAAGTGCCGAATAAATACGCGCGATGCGAGCTTCGTAGGTGCTCTTTCTCTTTTTCTCTCTCATTTACGCTAATAATAACGTATTTAACGAAATGTGGTGTACATATTCGCAATTCGATTCGTTATTCGGTCGTTTACAAATGTTGCCATAAAAACATGATTTACGACGTTTTGTGTCGGCGGGGGCGCCGGAAATAAGCCATCAATGAGATGATCGCAATGAAGCACGTTGCTGCTCGCACGCACGCTTCTCACGCAATTACGTAATTATATAATATATATATATATAACTGCGTGTGCGAAATGTATAAGCGGGCTGATTATTATCTATATCTTTTTATTATATGAAATTATGCGGAGAAAATGAGATATATTCTCCTATTATTATATAGATCGTTCGTCGAAGCGAATCCGCGTTAAAATCGCATCTCGATCGCAATAAAACCCGATGTACATATGATGTATTTTTTAGTGATGCACGTCTGCATCATGTTATCAGAAATCGATTGCATCTTCTTTCGATGCGACGTATACGTATCTCGATGTTTGTTGTCTCACTCTCGATTCGACAGAGCTCTCTCTCTTTCTTCTCCTTCTTCGTCTCTTCCGGATAATCTGCGGCGCAGCAAGTAATTTTCTTCGCAAGATTCTTCCCGAAATCCACACCGACGAGATACGCCGAAGATTACACGTTTGATTAAAATGTGCTTACTAGCGAGAGCTCGGTCTCCTCTTTATAATCGTGGGTTGACTTTTATTACGCGCGTGTGAAGATTATTGCTTCTTGTTACTTTATATGATTTTGGTCGCGCGACGAACGCAAATTGTGTATTACTTTTTTCTGTTGAATTTCGCATGCCTATCGCTTTTAAATAATATTCAGCGAGACGAAATTAAACTCGAATGTGTTTTCTACATTATAAAATAATTGGAAAATTAACTCATTTTTCTCATTTTTTTTAGCAAACTTTACCCAACTCGATAAGAAAAAAAAGTCACAATTATCAAATTACAATTTATTTAGACGCATAAAACAGAAACAAAATATTTACCACGTGCCTGCCAATTCAAATTTTTTGATCAACTTGTATTGATTTATGCAAAGCTTTATATTTGACAAAATCCCGAGTTTAATTGACAAATAAAAAATGTATACATATGTATAACAAGTTTATTTATCAATTAACTTCATCGGGGTTTTGTTAAATATAAAACTCGCGCGCATACACATATGTATATAAACAAAAATATTTCAAATAATCATTCGTTTCGCTGAATATTTTACATGCTAAAAGTATAATAGGCTAGCTATATTAGCATCGTTTTAGTTGAGAAAATAATATAGATTTCAGTGTTTTAATAACGCGTTCGTCCGCGATTTACAATAATGTGCACAGAAACGCGATGGAAGCGTGGTTATATACGTGGTTAAGCTACGAGCTCTTTGATCCCTTTAACCCCTTCCCAACGACAATATATTAACACATACTGCGTATGAGACTCTCGGAATAATAAAACTCTCTTATCGATCTCTGATATGTATATATGTATATATAAAGGAATGCAAAGATATAAATTATGTAAATCACAATTTATTCATCTAATTTAATTCTACACACATATTATCCTATGAATTCGTAACGATAGCATGTAAATATTTTACGATAAAATTGCATTCTATCAAATATATAACATACACAAATTCGTCACGTAATTTCCGTTGATGAGATTCTGTGATTTAATTATTCTTAATAGAATGGCTATATGTGTAATTTAAAATTTTTTTTTCGAGTATTTTTAGCATAATCGTATAATTCGCGTGATGAATTTATTTACATTTAATTATTTGAGCTAACCGACCTAAAAGATATTTTTGTACACCGAGAGTCTCATAAAAGTTTCGTTGCCTATTTAAATAAAAAATCAACTGACAGCATCTTTTTCAGTCATATTTGCTGGTTAATCGCAATATCTCATCGAGCAGAAGGGGTTAACTCGATGACTGCATTGCAAAATCTCAGCCCTGAGTACTCGAGATGAGTAATCCGATTATTGCAATTTTCGCGCAATGGTGTTTTTAATCAATTATAATATATCTTTACTTTTACATTTTCAAATTAATTATACGTCCATAGAGATTCTCGATAAAAGCGTTCAATGTGTATTCTTCTGTTATAAAAACTTTGGTGATTTATTTCAGTCGCGATGGTGTAATCATTACCTTATGTAGATTTTCACTCTTCTCTTTAATACTCTTTAATACGTATTCGTTCTTTTTATTGAATTTTATTTCTATCCTGCATCTTTTTCATGTATGAGCAAAATCTCGAGTTGTATGCATACTACATCATCGCCGTCTGTGCATACAGTACACAACACGTATGCGTTCTCGCCTTGCACACCAAACAAATATACTCGATGTGACGGGGGAAAGGAGGGGGTGAGACGTCGCAATGCCATCCGATACGAAGTAAAATTGATGTCTTACAATCACACAGATACATAACAACGGCTAGAATCGACTTTGGCTCGTATATGCAGTTAAACAATCGGACCAAGTACAACGTATTAGGGAATTAATTAATTAGATTAGACGCCGAGCGTCTAATGGAGCGCCCGTTAAGAGGTACAAGAGAGTAAGAAGCGACACGAGAATTCGATATTCTTAAAGTTCCTACCGAGGTACGAGGAAAGAGGAAATGGCAGGGTAATATCACGACGGGAAACACATACACGGTATATATGCTATTAGGGGAAAAAAATAATAAATATCATTAAACGTTAATTACAAGTCGGTCCGAGTGACAACGATTCTGAGATTCATTGTCACTTCGTTCCTTGGTTTAACAATTTACCGTAGACATCGATAACGATAATATTTTGGTTAAGAGTGTACGTGTATGTGTAGGCGTGAGCATGAATGCGCGCATGTGTCTGTTTCTCTGTGAATATAAGCTATATTTTTGTTTTATTTTCGATCTAGAGCAAAGTCGACGAGAGGAAGAGTTGCTTCATGACAATTAATTAAAACAAGGATTTTTCGGCGTCAAATTAATACGCGTGTATAATAGTTAAATATGTATATATGTATATATAATTTGTTGATAAATCTCTCAATAACAATAAGTTGTTATAAAATTTTCTTTTTGTGGAAGCGCAATTGTGCTTAATTAACATTCAGCTTTGTATAATTAAAATGCAGAAATTTAGAATTTTTGATTTTTAAAAATTACAACTTTATTACGCGAGAAAAATAAACGTTGTAAATTATTTTTATTCTTTAAGTAGAGCTCATTGGTACACTTAATTGTTCGTGGGAAAACATATTTTTGGGGAAAAGTAATAAATAACTAACTCTAACATAAAACCGATTATCGACATTAAACGGTATAAATATGTAACTAACGATCGCTATTTACGCTCATTTAAAATACTGTCTGGTTTCGACCGACCCTTAATGATATCGGAACAGTTTAGTTCGTATTTCTGTTCACATATCGGAACGACGAATAATCGTCAAGGTATACGCATTCCCTCTCTCGTTTCTTTCTATACACATTTTATTAAAACTTATGTGATAGCTTGTGTGTATATATATATATATATATATATATATATATATATATATATGTGTGTGTGTGTGTATACACACACACATACACATACATATACGTATGTATGTATGTATGTATATATTGTATACATACAAGATGTATGTATACATACAATATCAATTTTTATATGTATATTATATATATATATATATATGTATAAGATACGAGTAAATGTATAATAAATTAATTGTTAATGTCGTTATTAAATCTATTTACTATGCGTCATTATTAAACTAATGATATGTACTCGTTTTGAACTATAGCGTTAATTTGATGCAATTTTGAGGTGGTTGCGCGTCACCTTCGACGATCGAGAAGCCATCGAGGAAAAAAGCGTATCTCTTTTGGTTACGATGTAAAATAAAAACTAATTACATACGTATGTACATGTAGACTTTTTGCATAAACCCTCATGTTTGTGCAGCTTCGACCGATCCTGCCGGCCGATTTCCCGCCTGCGGATGCAAATCGCGCGTGTCGTAGCGTCGTGTCATTTCCGTGTGTTATCGGAATCAATTCTCGGCCGATTAGACGAATGCCGGCCGACGACTCTTGCCGGGTCACCGCGCAAAAGCCTTTTGTACTCCGCCAGAGGCT